AGTCATTAATCTTTAAACAGAAAAACGTATTCAATATGATTTTACGATGAATTACATTACTATTTATGTTTGTAAAAATCAGTAGAAAAAACAAGAAATTCTAAAAGAATGATTTTTCAGGTAACATCTAGATTATAATTTATAATCATTAATTTATTCATTATTCTTCATTGTTTCTAATTATTCCTTCACTTTATACGATATAACTCGAATTTTTCCACCAATCAGAAACGATCACGAGAAATCACAAATCACTGTGAAAAATCACCGTGATTGGGAACGAACGTGATCGAATCACGAGTGATTCACAAGTAGCAGTTCACGCCATCTCTAATGCGGTCATTAAAGAACTTGCGAGAATTGGTTGCTCTCTGTTGGCGTGTTCAAGAATCATCGATAGCAACGTCATGCTTAATTCGCATTATTCGTCTCGAGTGACGTGATTGTTCCGTTCGTGTCGTCAGGTGCCTAACGATGCGCTACATATTCACCTCCAATCGGAGAAGATACTCATTTATACAACTGTGGACGAAGTGTTCGCTTTAATTTTTTAATCGAAAGAGGGTATAACTGTAAAGTGAAAATTTCCTTCGTGATCAATTTTTAAAATTTTGTGCAAGTTACTGACGGCGATACTCGTTGTGAAATACAGTAAGAGTGAGATGTTAGTTTTAAACTATCAAAGGATATTTCAAAAGCTTGAGTCGTAGTGATCACAGGTATATATTTATTTGACTACTATTAAGTTATAATTTTAAAAGATCATAGAATGCTTCACGTCTGTATTTCTGGTCGTGTGCTCCAATTTCTTATTCTGTGTTATCCGTTTATAGCACACGTCATTCTTCTCGATAAACGTCCTTATTGTCAACACAATACAGTGCACCACTGCCGTCGCGTATAAATTTGATTTGGGAAACATCTAATATTCTATATTTAAGTAACATTATTCCGAATAAATGTTTAAGGTATTGTTTCAAAATACAATTTAACCGTTATTTTAGATACTCTTCATAAATAATGGAGTTCCCGAATTTGGGAGAACACTGTTCGGAGAATAGTTGCAAGCGATTGGATTTTTTACCACTGAAATGTGATGCATGCTCTGCAATCTTTTGTACTCAACACATATCATACACCAGCCATAGCTGTCCAAGTGCCCACCAAAAAGACGTTCAAGTTCCAGTGTGCCCCCTTTGTAATGTACCAGTACCAACAAAACGGGGTGATCCTCCAGACATAGCAGTCGGTGAACATATCGATAATGAATGCCAGTTGGATTTAAGAAAACCTGGCACCAAAATCTTTTCCAATAGGTCAGATATCACAATCGTTCTATGTATATTCCTACATGTTTTTCAACTGCCTATAGTAACAGTGAATTGTCTCCTTCAGATGTTCCTCCAAAGGCTGCAAGATTAAGGAGATAGTGCAAGTTCGTTGTTCGGATTGTGGTCAGAATTTTTGCTTGAAGCATAGGCATCCAACCGATCACGCGTGTATAGGCCAGGAAGAAGCGACTAGAAGAAGAAGACTTGAGAATTTAGGAAATAACGTGAACGCAAATAGGCGAAACGGTGATATTATGAAGAACTATCAAGGCAGTATGAGTGAAGATGAAGCTCTAGCAAGGGCTCTTCAGGCTTCCATGCTAGATGAAGATTCAGCCAGGCGGCGAACTGTCGAGGCTGTGCCTTCCGGAAATAGAGATAGGTGTAGACTCTCTTAAAATCTTTTTACTCCACACAATCTCTCCAAGTGTTTAGAGTACATTCTTCAATCGCAGAAAATGTAGAAAACTTCCTTCGAACTTTTGCTTGAACTGAGGAACGATTATAACAAAACTGCGCAACTGATTGCTCACGAGCAGCAGTCTCGGAAGTTCCCCCCACTACAGTCCTCAAATTGACTCACTCGAGTCATGGCAGGAAGACTATTGGTCGGAACTATAGTGGGCGTAACCCAAGAAAGGAAGTTCGAGGTGCTTCTGTTCGTGAGCAATTATTGCGTAGCTCTGGATAAAAAAAATCATTTGGCTGCTCAATGTTATTAAGGGGTTATTGCCACCATATGTTTTTTCATCTAAACCTGCAGGCACAGGGTTTCTATCTTTCAAGGGATAGCATGAAATTATAGTGGAAGTAACCCTAAGGACCATTTGATTTTGTTCCTACTTAGCACCTCAAAGATTCGCAAATCATTACGTACCTTCAGCTTTCTCTTTTACGATTCGAAGAAGGTGCTCTTAAATCCTTCATTATCCTAACATGTACAAATTTCTTAAACTACATTTAATAATGGAAAAAGACAATTCATTCTATTAGGGAATATATCACATATTAATGAATGGTAAATGCCTTTTACTTCTCACATAGATATAGTTTAATAATTAACGTAACAAATTTCTTAATAAGAATTACGAGTAATTTTACATGTACAAAGAAAGAGGTAGGTACTTCTACTGCAAACATTTCATTGTTTATAATATTAAAAGTGAACTTTGAAAGCTTCTTAAAAAGGCAATCACCTATAAAAATGATAATTGTTCTTTTTAATCATTGTTAATGTACTATTGTTACACAATCTCGTCGGTTTTACATTTTTTTTACACTTTATTATGCAATATCTACGAAAAAATTATATTCATCCCTTTTCCGCTAAAAAGTTTTCTTATATTCATCGGTAATTTCCTGATACTGGATACATATGTATGAAAGTTATGGTAATAATACTTTTTGTATGACATGTATAGTATGAAATTATAGCGAATTTAAAAATAATTAGTAACATTACCTGCCGAATTCGTGATTTAAAAAAAAAATATCAAAAGGGCAACCTCGATAAAGAGTGCCTTAGTAGATAGGGCTCAGTCTTTACTGAAATGTATCTTCAATTTATTACGAATTACGATCGATTTTTCGAAAACTTTACGAAATATTTAGCACTATTTAATATATCTCTGTACCTTTATCCATTTTGTGTTGTGACCGTCGTACTTAATATTCTTCTTTCTCATCGCGAACCTTTCTATTTATATTCCTAAAAACAATGCAACTTTATCGCAATTCTAATTGTTGTATAAAATAAATTTGTATATTTACCGAATGAGTTTCACGTTAATTATCTGTTTATCCGTATCCTTTAGGATATTTACAAAATATTTATAAACTGATGCTTATTTTAGAATGTGTTGCAACATTTTTCTATCCTCATTTTTGTATCATAGGTGAAAGAAGGAATAAAACCGATAGTCAGTAATATTGAAATACATTTTATTATCTATACCACGTATAAAGGCAAAATAATTGTGTTCAGAACGTAAGATAATTCTGTTTTATTTTTTCTTATGATCCATCTTGGGTTGAAATAGGGACGAAGTATCTAATCAAGGAAAGGGACAGGTTTCATTGTGTGCACAAGTGAAGTTTTCTTTTACTGTAATTGTTCAATATCCTTCTTCTTCATTGAATACAATTTGCGAACTATCCAGATTTAAAAAATTCCCTTTTCTTATAGAAGAACTAAGGCACTGTGGGATGATTAGTCTAAAATTCGGCTTAAATTAGCGTCATGCATATAGTTTTTTTTTTTAATCTTTCGCGACAATTTTTATTCCCATATTCATTAATCCTTTCATCATAATAAATAATTATATAGTTTCTAGTAGTCCCAGAAAAATAAATAATAAAAACGAAAACACTCTCCGAGACGCATTGCTTATCGTATACCCCTTCGACGACCTTTGTCGTTTCTTTAAATATTTTATTTTTACTTCCGGCGCAAATAAATCGATTTCCTAAAATTCAAAAGTTTTGCAATATTGTGTATGTAATCGTTACAGCACCAGAAAAAGAATACAGTAAAATCTTCAAAAAGTAACGACTGAACTGACAAAAAAACACAGCAGGTGATTCGTTTAAATTTTATTTGGTATCCTAGAAATTCGACGATTGAGGTTAGTTTGCGCTTTTTCATGTAGTGTATGCAGTTTAAAGGAATCTCCGCCGGTGAATTAAAAAACAAAATTGTCACAAATCAGATTAATCGTAGGCTTTATTCACGACACCCTCATCAAGCAATAAATATTCAATTCAAACAGATTTATTTTTCTCTGAGTTATTGATCCTTCAATGTCCTCGGAAAGAATAAGAAGAAACAACGAATCCTATTTTCCCTTTATCGTCGTCTCACGCGGGGTCACGATGTGGGGACCGGAAATCGATGCATAACCAAAACTGGCATCGACCGACGATAATCTAATTACAATAATTTAAAATTCTGTTAATTTGAAATAGCATTAAATAGTAGTGTCAGCCAATGTTCATTTTCTTTTTATGCGATTCCGACTTGCTCTGGTTGTCAACCCTTTACTAGATTTACTCGTTTATAATTTGTATAATTTAACAACATTCCTTCGCCCTTTACACTCTCGTGATGCTTCCTAAACTAATAGCAGAATTATTTTTTTACAATCACTGATATTTTTTAAGTAATTATTTTAAAACTACCACTCTTTTGCCCTCTTAAATATTTATGTTGAACCAAGTGACAACGGATTATACCCTAAACAATATCGTATTCGAATTGCAGTGGTAAGTGTACGCTAGAATTGATTCCTGACTCGAAAGTAAAACTGCAAAGGATCGACAGATCTTTCGAAGACATACGCGCGCCGCCGCCCACATTTTCAAAAGATTTTCACGTGGAAAATTCACTCGACCGACTAATCCACCCTCTATTTGAAGCCGCAAAATAATAAGTCCGCTATCGTAATTCTATTTAATTAAGTACAAAACACGTTCCATTAGTACTTCTCTGCGTGTTCTACGGATCCTGTAGCGTTAAAGCATAAGGAAATACGCTAACAATTTCTATATATATAATACAGGAAACTGGTGACTGTTTTTTTTCTTTTTCTTTAGTACACGATGCGTTAAACATGTTCAGCGATGTTCCTTGCACCTTCATCTCTGTGTGTTTTTTGTTTTAACTATAATCCTTAACCGTACAAAGAATGCATATTTGGTATTTCAAACAAGTAAGTTAGATGGTATCGAGCACCTTCACCTCAAGTGTTTGCCACATCATTCGCTTAGTTATTTGAAATAATCCCCTGTATGTGTGTATGCGAGCGTGTGTGTGTGTCTCTTATACAATGGTAAACTTAACAAACGACTCGATTACTAATATTTACAGTTATCAATGTAGTATGAGTGATATAGGTTCTGAATATATGGAACTACAGCCATTAATGATTAGAGCATGTGGAAACTTAAGCCAGTACAGTTGATACTGTCCTCCCACCCCTTTCCCATTCTCTTTGCGTTCCTCTGTGGTGTGTAGTAGATCTCCCTCTGTGTGTGTGTGTGTGCATAAAAGCATACGTTTCACGCTATGAACAATCGTGTATCCGTTCAAGAAATTAAAATTCAATTCAACCCTTTTGCTACGGTCAGTCACTACGACGAACTCAAGAAATAAAGAAGGAACATGCTCTGCGCAGTTGAACGATTCGATCTAACATTTTACTTTCGTTCACTAGCCATTTTACAAATAACCTTTTAAAGCCTATGTATGTATAAAGTTCGTTTTAGTACTCGCCTAAAGTCATCATCCTCAATGTACCCAAATGTAGTACTTTTATTAAAAATATCCAGCCTACGTTGCTATTTCTTCAGACATCTCAGATTCTCTCGTAGCAAGAGGGTTCCCAATAAGACTCGTTCTCTTGATAAGTTCGTATTTTTTTTTTCCGCCCAAAGAACTGTCTTCGCGATTCTGAATGCATTTTCAAGCTAACCTATATACCTACGCCCTGCACCCGCTGACCAAAATGTCTCGTCGCACGCATCAATTACGAACTTTGGAAGAAGTGAAAGTAGCAAAAGCTGTAAAAAATAGTATGGTATAGAAGGTGTGGCTACGAACTCTTTACCCTACAGCTGTCCCGGCTGTTCCCCCGGCCATTCAAGGAACCAAAAGAGCTTTTGATACTTCCTATTCTCAGAACGGTGGTTAAGAACGGTATCCTCCGCCCCCCCCTGCCGACATTTCCAGAATGCACGACAGAAATGTGGTATATTTAATCGGTGATGGAGATCTGAGCAAATCCTATTAACGCCTTGTCGTCCGGCACTTCGTTGGGCGCGTGGCCAGAGTTCTAGAAACCGAACATAACCTCCGATTGAGCGACTTCTGACGCGAGACTAACGGGAATACACGGATGTGGAAATCGCTTTTGGAATTACACTAGGGTAAAAGACCCAATTACTGACACTTTTTATTTGTATTTATTATTATTTAATAGAGTGGACCCTAACTATATTGCCACGCAAGGCACTTCTCCTCCACACGTACTTTGGAGCACACAAATTCGCTCTCCAGCTTTTGCACAGGCGCTGAAGCCGAGACTATGACGACAGAACTTAGCATGGAGGGGGCTCTGAACTCATTGCCATTTTACTCCCCTAGAGCCCCGACAATGGCAATATAGTTAGAGTCCACTGTACGTTTAATTGAAGAAAAAATTTGTTGTAACTTTCTGAACCTCTAGTTTTGTTTATAAATTCATTAGTTTCGAAAGCTATTACTGACACCCGTAAAACGTGTTCGATCGAATTACTGATATCCCAATTACTACCATGTAACTAAACACTGTCATCTTATGTATGTACATATGTACTTACTGTCACTTGTTTTACGTTAGGTTGCACGTGACTGCAGACCGTATTGGTGACTTTGTTTTCGTAAGCATTTACTCACATGACGATAATTCAAGAATTATTGAAACTTTTGTACCAATCACTGTCACCCAAATATTAAACTAAAAAACTTAACGAATCGTTGAATTACGATCGACATTATTTTCTATGATCTTTGTATTATCTAGAGCATTACATTTTATTTTCTTTAATACCTTGTTTTCCCTTTCACTAGTGAAGGACGTTGTCGTTTTGATTGTTCCAATATGTTGACTGTTACTAGTGATAGAAATGAATGCGTCAGGCACTACCTCACACTGTATCTTTACTATAACTTCCTCATAGTGCCGTTCCAAAAGCGATTTTCAAATCCCTGCCTTCCCCTTGTAAACCACAGAGCATATCAAACTTGTTGTGACCTACCAGTGAAAAAGTTACCGTCCGTAATTGGCCGGCGCTATCTATTAGCTTCTGTAAATTTGCTGCTATCACAACGATATCCTTGCCGTCGACCAAACCAGCCCCTACGAGCTCCGCTGCGATTCCTTCGGCTGAGTCTACCCCGACGGAGAACTGGAATCTGATATCGTTGAGTTCCCGTTTTTGGTTTCTGAAAGGTTCAACGTTTCTCTGATAATTGTGCATGTTACATCGGATCAAAACACAGTGAATTATCGATGAGTGTTCGAAGACTCCTCAGGTCTAAATGTTCAGACGTCATCCTGACCACTGGGGGGTCCTCCGTGGGAGCAGTCAAGCGCCTAGTGTTGGGGACGACGTTTGAACACTCAGCGCCGAGGAACCTTCCGAACACTCATCGATGATTTACTGTAGTGGTGGTAAAATAACGGAGCGGTTGGAAATGAAGGTACAAGGTAGGAAGAATGCGTACTCGGCCATGTCTTCGAGGGTGAAATAGGCCTCGGGTCGTCTGTAACGAAGGAAGTCCGGTGTAATAAGGAAGATGAAGGGAAATCGAATGACTGGAATAACAGCTGAAGAGGACATACCGTAATCTTACGACCAAGTTTATGGGATCATTTTGCTCGATGTGTTGCAGGACCAGCTGACTCGGTGCCAACTTCACCATTCCGTATTCTTCCTCTTCGGGCTCCTCCTCGCTGCTTGGGTTTTCGATTGTGTTCACTGGTAATGCTTCCTTGCCTTCGTCGCCGCTCGACGCTCCAGTTTCCTCCTCTTCGGAGGACCACACCCATTCCCCTGTGACTGTTCTGTGCAGGCGACCAGACGTGCCGGGCTGCCTCTTCGAGGCTTTCTGCACCCTGGTCTCGAGACTGGGACCGATTGCTACCAAGGTTTGCTGCAGATACTTTTTGTCCTTTGCTTTTTTAAAGAACGGATGTTTCAGCAGCTCGGTCGCCGTCGGTCTCTTCGTTGGGTCCTTTTGCAAGCAGTCTACTATCATCTTCCGGAATGTCTTGCCGTACGCTTTGTACTGATCCTTGTCGTCGGCCACGGTGTCCAGGGTCGGTGGATCGTTCTGCAGCGTCAACATCAGCACCTTCATCGGCGGATACTTGTGGTACGGAGCTGTGCCGCTGGCCATCTCGATGGCGGTGATGCCGAGCGACCAGATGTCTGCTTTGAAATCGTATCCGTGGTCCTAAAAAGTTACGTGCATATCATAATTGATTTTACAAGGCACCTGTGAGACTGGAACGGCAATTATTCAGATTAGAACGTGCTACTTATTCGAGCATGCGTCACCTAAGCGGCGAATCGACTGTCATATAAAGTAACTGGCTGTGTAACAAGATTCTGCAATAATCGGAGAAAAAGGAATATATAGCTGTTTATAAAAAAAATTACGTGCTTGGCGGGACATTCTGGCCGGGTACAGTTAATGTCCGTTTCCATTGAAACGATACGGAATCGAAAATAAATGTATCGTAAGCTACTATACCCGATGAATCTTTAGGGCCTAACGAACGCAAGACCAATCATAGACACAAAGCAAAACGCAAGCTAAGAAGTGGTAATGTTACTTTCCTGTCTCACCTGCTCCATGACCTCTGGTGCCATCCAGCACGGTGTCCCTACAAACGTATGTCGGACTTTCTGTCTACTGAGGTCGCGACCAGTCGCGAGCCAAGCACTGACCCCAAAGTCAGCTATCTGTACGGTGCCATCTTCTCCTAGTAGGATATTACCGGCTTTTATGTCCCTAATATTATTCTGTTATTAAAATTTGTCTACGGCGTACAGAGAGAATTGAATTCATTCTCCATGGGAGAATCTGAACAGAACTTGTTCAGCGTGGATAAAGTCTGGCTGCCAGTGTACCTGTGTATCTGCCCGTTACTGTGAAAGTATTCAAGGCCTTTCAGCACCTCTCGTAGCACCGTGGCTATCGTGGCCTCGTCGAACACCCCGTGTTTGCAGTTCGAGGTTCTCGTTTTGTGTTTGATAATGTCCAGAAGGGATCCACCTTCTAGCAACCTGAGGACGAGCCAGAGCTCTTCCTTCACCACAAACGACGTGTAATATGTGACGACATTCTCGTGATTGCAGGAGGACATTGCCTGAATTTCTTTCTGTTTAAAATAACAGAAGAATACATTTGGATTATTAAATTAAATATAGCATGCGTATTATGGTAGCTATTGCAACGTTATCTTATCCAACAATGTATCCCGTTATCGCGTGAAACAGAGAAATTTAATTCCAGATATCCGACGACTGATAATTTTGATAATACAAATAATTCATCAATCGACCCGGCTTGCATATCAACGCCGTTATCGGTGGCAAAATTTCGCGACGAAAAAATTCGAACGGAGAATGGTACCAACCAGCAGCTCGTCCATGCTTGTGTTCCATTTTTCCAAATTTATTCTTTTGATCGCACATTTTTCCTGACGAGGTATGCAAAACGCAGCGTGCACTATCGCGGTCGCTCCCACACCTGAAATTAAACAGGAGAAAAAATATTAGAATATTTGATATGTAAATGGCTAACAATAAAAAATTTAATATCAAATTTTTCGGCTTAGTTTCAATTATCTCTTCGAGTGCTTTACAATCGTAACAACGTCACTGCTCTTTACGTCAGAAAATCCCTCTATGACGTATATACTAATATTGACACGTAATAACAGATTAGCTCGCTCCGTTTTTTTAATACATTACCCGAACAGATGGTCAATACCCACTGTTTGAACTTTAGAAAATTGTTAAATACATTCTAAGGTAACAAAATAAATTCTAATTTCTGAACTTTTCTTTCACGAAAACGACGATTTCCATTCCCAACATTTCCCTCTTATTCTACCCAAAACTACTTCGAGAGTTGCGCCAAAATATGTATCATTGACAATCATTCCATTCCACGAAACATAATCTTCCAGATAAAAAATCTTGCCAAGAATATTCTTAAATTGACAGATAAGCACACAATCAACGTCAATCCCGAATTACGTCTCTTACTTAACCACCATATGATTCATACCCAAAATTTTACAACCCTACCAACCCCTTAAAATGAAATACTTCCCCTATTCAATGCTTTTAAAACAATCAGACAATAACCGGGAATCCTGACATAACCTCTTCATGCTCCGATCGGTAATTCTCAAATGCCATACATTGATCGTTATCCACGAAGGAATATCTTCCCCTATTCAACGCTTTTCCCGTATTAGATCAGTCAATAACCAGTAATCGTGACATAACCTCTTCATACTACCGTCGTAATTCTCAAATGTCACACGAATTGATCGTTATCTATCGACGAACATCCACGCGAACAAGATTACAGTCTTCGTTCTGCGGCAGGTTAACTAGGTTAGGACGTGTGTCGGGGGCACCGGTATATACAGTGCCCGCCGCAAGTGCGAGCGAGACAGCGATTCGTCGTACGGCCGTGGCGCGAGTGAGACAGTGTCATAAACGGCGGAGCAGCGCAAGGGAGGCCCACACGCAACGTGTGTCTCTCTGCGTAAAAAAAGTCGTTTGTCTCCTCGGTCGAAATAACCTCGAAGCTGATCGTATCCTCGACAGGTGTTTTTTATGCAACAACGTTCCGTATCTGGTAAGACGACGTAGGAACAGAGGCTGGCTCGTCGTGTACGTTAACGTCAAGAGGCCAAGTTTCGTCGGGGAACCCGGTGTGACCCACGGTGATCACACACACCTGATCGGTGACCGTCACTTTCCAAACGAAAACCCGCTCGGTGTTGATTGTTGCCGATCTGGAATGTCGAGAAATCGTCGTACAGACGACCGTTACTCACCGATAACCTCTTTCAGCTCGTAGTCGTCCTTGGTATTCGGCCAGCCCTGCACGACCGTGGTGGAGCTCGAGGACGCCATTTTGTTCGCCAGTGCCGTGCCAAGCCGCGCGTGCTTGCTGGCACCACGGGCGCCCCGCGCGAGCAGTAAAACGCCGCTGCTCTTCGTGCGACCGCTGCTGCTGCTGCTGCTGTTGTTCGATGGTGTTTTTGGATCACGTGGAGGTGCTGGAGGACCGTTTGCGTTTGCGTCTGCGCGATCGTTGTTGTTGTTTGCCGCGGTACCGTCCGAATTTCCGACGGTGCTTCTCGGCGGTGTCGCGGCGCGAAACGATCTTTGACGAAAGATCCCAGGGGAACAGGAGGGCAGCACGTCTGGCGAGATTTTCCTGCGAACATGTTTGATAGTCGTTTATTTTTATCTTGACAGATGAAGGTCTCGCGAATAACTGCGATTTTCCCTTTTTTCAGTTTGCGCTGACAACCGGGTCAGGGGCGTCACATACCCAGATAGCACATGACGCCTTAAAAACGGCTTAAAGGCGCCTTAGACCTAAAATAGACGTAAAAAGGACCTCTTCGAGGCGTCATGTGCTATCTGGGGAGTGAGGTAGCAAGCCCCCAGTGGGATTATACAGGGTTTGATGGTCGAAGAAGGATGTCACGGCAATAAGGATGCTTTTGGATTAGCTACCATTGACAGTTACGAGGGTATATCGAATAATTCCCGGGAAAAACTTTTGTGTTGGGAAACGGTCGTTTATTTCAAAGTTATTTGACTGTAATTTTAATCAGTTTTCCGAGAATTATTTGAAATACTCCCGTATGAAACTTTCTGACGGATGAAGGTTTTGTGAGTAGCTCGAATTTTTTTTTTAATTCAGTGGAGATAACTGAAAACGGTCATATAGTGAGGCAGCAAGCCCAATGAGGCTATAGAAGTTTGGATCTGATGGTTAGAGATGGATATTATGGCAATAACGATTCTTCTGGATCAGCTACCATTGCCAGTTATGAAGCTTTCTGAAATTAAGGGGCTTAGTGAAAGAGGGGCCACAATATTATAAATTTACAGAACTACTTTTAGGAAAAGTAAGGTTAGAATTTGTTGATTTGGTACAAAATAGTTAAGAACCGACGTGGATGTGGCCTTTCTCCACTGATCCCTTCGATTTTAGAGATTTTTTCTGGGGTTTCTGTATCGCACGAACTTCTAGTTTTAAGTTTTGGATGAGGATTTCTACAGCCTATAAACAGAGAAGTATGGTTTCACCAGTTTGTCGTGCCGTCTACGAAGACCGTACCGGTTCGTTTCAGCAAACAACGCCACGCAATAGGGGCAGATTGCATTAAGAAGGCCACGACAATGTGTTTATTAAGTCTCCATTACGTGTAATCTTGTCAAAATAAATGCGTGGACAGCAGCGTCGACGCAACCCACGCAAGCTCCAATCCGATTCATTAAGACGATTGGTCTTTCTTCGAGAAAGGAATAGTCTCGCGTAATAAATTCTAATCTCGAACAATTCTCCCGTCCCCTTGTCCAGGGTCGCTCGAAGAAGTAGAAGCACCGTTTGAAAGACATTCTCTTCACTTTGGTTCAAATATAGAGCCTTAATTGCTCGTTATCAAAGTGAAGAACCATCGTCAGACGAATCAGATTGTATTTCAAACTTTCGTTTCCCAAGTCTCGAATTGTTTATAATAATACATTCCACTTTAACAGCGACATTAGGCCTCCAATTGAAGGATCAAATCTTATAGGATTTTCTAGGACCCACACCTATCCACTCCAGGATGAAACCGTTTTCAATTTGAAAAGTCCCAGATAGCATATGACGCTCAATGACGCCTTGGAAACGGCTTCAAGCCGCCTTAGACCTAAAATAGACGTAGAATGGGCGTCTTTAAGCCGTCATGTACTATCTGGGGTTAGATGGACCCGAGGAATCCCAAAGCATTATTATGATCTTTAATTGCCTAGATCCCGAATTGTTTATAAAAAATTCCTCCCACTGCTGTAGTGACACTACGTCTTCCATTGAAGGATCGAGTCTCTAGGGTGAAATTGTTCTCAATATAATAGTTAATTTCGATCGATACCGAAGAATTCAAAAGCGTTATTACAACACCCGTACCTATCGATCCAACCAAAACAGCGTGGGCAGCGCGTCAACTTAATGAAAATATCGACGAGTGGCTTAAGCCTGCGAGGAATCCCCTCGATCGTTCCTTAAAAATCTCTATCACCGGGGGGAGGGCTTTACTCGCCTATAGGGATGAACCGATCTAAGTAGATACAAGTAAATAATCGATACTTTCGTTTCGATACCGAGTATTTTTGGTATCGATACATTCGCTTGCGATGTGTACTTGGTATCGAAGGAAAGTATTCATATCGAATGGAGTAATCGATATGAAAGCTAATGAATGTGAAGGTGGTTGTCGCCTAATTATATTACTTTGTTGATAAATATTCGTTAATAAAACATGTCTTCGTCAATAAATAATTGTTAATAAAATATGCTTTCGTTAATAAATGTTCGGTAATAAAATATATATAAATATATACAAATTCATTATCTAGATAAAGAGTCTCGAATATCGAATAAAAGGTAAAAAAAAGTACTTCGTCATTTTTAATCATTTAAACGTGAAAATTCTAATTCTTATAACAATTAATATTATAATAATACAAACAATCTCATTAATTGTTTAAAACTCAGGATGGTGCCGTTCGATACTGGAGCTTTTCACTGTTTTATTCGCATAAAATTCTCAACTCTGGTTAAAATATATTATATTAATAAAAAAAAGAACTTTGTATATTCATTTTCCTCCGACACAACCCACATAGCACATGACGCCTTGAAGATGTCTACTTTACGTCTATTTTATGTCTAAGGCGCCTTTAAGCCGTCTTCAAGGCGTCATTAGGCGTCACGTGCTATCTGGGAAGTAGATATCGATACTTTTGATGCGATACTGAGTAGATTTATCGATCCTTTTTCTCGTTACCAATTATAAGTAAAAGTATCGATACCTTGATGGTATCGTTTTATCCCTATCGATACCCAGATAGCACATAACGCCTTGAGGACGGCTTAAAGGCGCCTTAGACCTAAAATAGCCGTGAAAAAGGCGTCTTCAAGGCGTCATGTGCTATCTGGGCACCTTGACGGTATCGGTTTATATCCCCTACTCACCTATAAGTACGTTACGCGTCCACAATAGTCAAGAGATTAGAATTTATTCGTGCATTATAGCACTGCAGCGTGGCGCGCGCTCGTCCAACAACTGCCGAACCGTTACGACTCGGGAAAAGATTTTGTTTTCGGCGCGCTCGAGCTAGCGAGGCGAACGGCGAACGTCGCGTGATACGTGACCGCGATATTAAGGTTAATCCTGGCCCGTCTGTCAAAGCGGAATCCCACCATAAACTTCGAACGGCGGCACACGCTCGTCGCGATTAGTAATTGAAGTGCTTTCATCGTTGTTTCTCGCAGAGACGCGTTTATAGAGAGTGAGGGAGAGAGTAGGGTCGAAGCTTGAGCGGAGAAAGCGAGACAGATCGTGCCAGACGGAGAAATGGGGGGGTTGGGTGGGGGGACAGGGCCGCCAATTAGGGCGGAGTCGGAGGCAGCATGGAAATAACGCTAGAAAAGGCGACTGTGTTGGAGAGGGGGCAGAAAAATGAACCGTTCCCGGACGTATTCGTGCGGAATACGGGGATAAGAACGTACTAGTAGTAAGGTCCAAAAGTTCTCGGCTTCTCCTATGACGCGCATACGTGGAAAAATATGAATGGATAATATTAGATATACAAACGCCATCAGTTTCATTCCTACGCGTTCAGTCTTTTAGTTGTAAATGCAGCGTAAATGTAACCTCCACGCGCCACGTCGAATTTCGAGTACCGTGCTGTTGGAACATTCTCGACAATAGAAGGTAGCACGTCAATGGAGATTCACGTAACGCCTTCGTAAAATATACGGCGATGCTTCGACTTAGTATTCAATTGTAAATCAACGGGTGAAATTATTTAAAACGAGATGAGAATCTCTCGAAGACGACCACCGCGGCTGGTTCGTCCAAAAAATATTTTGGGATCGCGATGACGTATCGATGATCGATTTCGAAGAGATAAACATAACGGAAAACACAGAATATTATGCTGATTTAATTCAATAACTCTGTGCTGCTGTTAAAGACGGTTATAAAAAATAAACTACTGAAATTCCTCACCCATCGTACAGTCCCAGATGGCCTAGCGGTTGTTATTTACTTCGAAAATCGAAATCTAATCTTCATGCATGGAAATTTAACCGCAATGAAAAGTTACAATAAGCTATTTTGCAGATAAAGGCAGAAAGTACAGTAATCCCTCGATGACTGCGACACGAACAACGGCGTTATTCTCACTACTGGGGGGGAGGGGGGCGAACCCCTCTGGAATGAACCAAAACTTATATTTATTTCCAAAATTGAAATCTAATCATCGTGCATGGAAGTTTCACCGCGATGAAGAGAATTTTGCAAAGACAAAAGGTATATATATGTTAATTTTCCGTTGTAACAAATGTATTATATTGAAAAATAATTCACGTTCATCATTTATTCGATGTCTTTTTATTACAAATCTTATTCAGATCTTACTCCTCTCGATTATCGTCTGGCTTGTTCTACACGATTATTGTCCAGGCGTTATCCCCACCACTGGGGAGCGGGGAACCCGTCAAGCGCATACTTTGTTGCCCCTTTTATTGCCGAGGCTTCAAAAAATGAATTATGAGGCTCTGAAGCATTTCTCCATACACGATTCTTGTCCTGGCACGGAACCAAGTTCGTGACAATAATCGAGAGGAGTCTGTACTTCGTATATTCAGGGTCTAGGTCCAAGAAATGAAATCAAATTGGCAAAAGTCTTATCAAAGGAACATCAATACCTCCAAAAATTTTGAATTTTTCGAAAACTCTACAGGTTCACAAGGGAACTCGATAAAAGAGTCGAGGGTTAATTTAAGGGGTGGTTTACCGTTTGTGTTGTCTGATACCACTTTCAATAATAAAAAATTATAAGAAACAAACTGGGAAAAGAATACATGCACGCAAGGGGACGGGTGGTTGAGCTATTCGCGTTGTAGCAGACGATAAGGGGATCAGAGATACAAACGGGAAGAACCGTGGCGTTTGTTTCGATCGTGGCGAGTTACCAGCGCGATTACAGAATTCAATTAAAATGGTCAGTGATGAAACTGGACGGGGTTTGGTTGCGTGTTATCAGGATCCCGTATTTGCACGAGGATTTTCTATTCGAAATGACAGCTGATCTTGTATAAAAGGACGTTCCACGCAGGCTCTGCAGGACAGTCGTGTCGGTTCAGAAACGGAAGTATACACTTTTCGGGGGAATTAAAACACGGACCAGGAAGCGGGAATCGCCATGTTGTACAAAATCGGTTACCTTTTCGTGGTAAGAATACGATAACAACTTTTTGACTGCTAGAGTAGATGTCCGGATAACTGCCATCTTAATTTAACCTAAAAATCGTCTCAGTCCGGAACACAATATCATTTAACATAGTTTTATACATTAAATATGACGAATTAATTAATAATTAATTGAAAACTGTGAGCAATCCCAGTGTCCCTTAACTGTCACCCCAAAAATTATAATAATTCTTATATACTTTAACAATTCATTTTGCACAGTAGACATAGGTAAGAATAGTAAAATGACGGCTCTCTCTTTAGTACGATTTCGCAATCGCCTCCTACTTACGTAATCGCGTTTTTGACGCTCAAATTCCACTGTCATTTTGCAACACCTATTTTTAAATACCAGGTATATAGAAGCACATGTACTTCCTTGTTTATATGTAAATCAGATTTCCAATTTAATAATAACCCAGATAACACATGACGTCTAATGACGCCTTGAAGACAGCTTAAAGGTTTAATTACGCCTTGAAGACGGCTTAGACCTAAAATAGCCGTAAAATGGGCGTCTTTAAGGCGTCATGTGCTATCTGGGTAAAATTTCTTTCTTTCCAATTTTTTTATTATTTACCGTATACGTTGCCTTTTTATTAGGTAAAGTAAATAAAATGCCAGTATTAGGGACACTGACAGTAATTCGGACATTTACCCTATTCGATGCTTCGATGGCGAGGAGGAAAAATAAACCGCTCGACTCTGTGGTACTGCGCACGGAACCGGTAGCTCTGAGGCTATATACACGCGGGTGGCAGTCTTTAAGGGGTTTAATTATCGTGAACGTACTACATGACTACATGCTACGTCATTAAGAAAACTTCACGTTGTTTACCGTTCAATTATTGGGTACACACGTCTTCGTGGGCACGACGAGGCGGGACCACAATAACTCGTTTAAGAGGATGTTAAACGCGCCCGTTAATTCCCAACGTAAATTGAAGCTTAAATTTAGTGACTTTCCGCGTCTAATTCCGTCACGTCGACGTACACTCGGTTTAACGAGCCTGCGAACGATTTATCGCGATTAACGTAACGTAACGTAAATATTGCGCTCGGTGGGGAAATCTTTGCAGAAAGTATCGCCGGAAACGATAATAATATAGAATTTTTTTTTACAAATGGTGAAACTGTGAAAGCAATTCAAAATGATGATTATGGTTAGACTGCGGATTTTTATGCAAAATCACATTTTAGAAGATTGTTTGTGAAGACAAAAACAAAAGTGGGAATTTCGTTCTTCTTTTAAGTATTTTATTGGGCTTAAAAGGAAATAGAAAACTGCCCAGATAGCACATGCCGCCCAATGACGTCTTGAAGACGGTTTAAAGACGCCTTAGACATGAAGTAGCCGTAAAATAAGCGTTTTCAAGACGTCATGTGCTATCTGGGTGGTTACATCTGACGAAAGTTTTGTCCTTTTGTATTCCACAGAGACCTATAGGCTATAAATTGCATAAAATCTGCAGTCTAATTATGGTACATTGGGACAATTGGTATTGATCGAAATGTTCAATCTAACAAATTACACTGTACAACAAATTTTAACTTTTTTTCGCTTTCGTAACCTTCAATAGGCGTTCTTGATAAATCTTTATGAGCTGAATACGAATCTGCAAACCAGTATGTCCCGTTTTTGAAAGAATCAATTTTTTTTTTAAATTGAAAATTTTTCACTTTCAGGCTGTGGTGTGTTTTCACAGTAATAGTTATTCAATCTCTTTTGACACGAAATAATTCTCTGGACTCTTCCGAACAAAATGGTATAGATTTTTATTACATTACAGACATCTGAATATGTTTAAATAATATTGAAAGTGAAAAGGATACCGAAAACGCATCAATACTTGCTGATATCCTTCAGTTTATTTCAAAAAATTAAGGATCCAGGAAAAAATCTAACCAGAGCACGCCACACAGACGGCTTAATGACGGCTTAAAGACGTCTCACACCTAAAATGGACGTTTTCGGGGCGTCATGTGCTCGGGTCCAAAATATAAAAGCACTCACCTATTTCTGCCGAGCACCAGAGTTGTCAAGAACCTATTGTCCTGGAACTTGAGCCGCTCCTTTTCCGTAGATATAGGCGCCGTGGCGCCAAGCGTCGTGCCGGTTTTGCGTTGCCTCATGTTGCCCGCAATTCTGCGCAGAAAGAAACGTCTTTGTCAGACCGGTTGCATACCGTCCAGGCTCCTCGGAGCTCAAACTCGACGAGAGAGCAGAACGTAAATGGCAGTGCAGCAATTACGGTTCATATTGCTCAATTGTTAATTAACCAAGGCAATGATACCTTTGCTGCGGTGTGTATTAAAATTTTCATGCAAAATGAATTAACATTTGCAATGTAAATGATACATAGGTAATCAACATTACCTATATATCAGTAAAAATTTATTATTCTATTTAACAAAAACTTTAAACAGGCTTGGATTAGAATTTCTTGTGGCCCAGGACTATTAAACCTTCGAGGGCCCCCTTGGTTGAAAAGCGGTTGTGGGGAGGGACAGAAAATTTTTGTAATGCAACATATAATAATAAGTATCAATCTTCAAAAATTGAAATTTATTGTAAGTAAAATTAAATATTATTTAATCCTAACGAACGCTTGATTATAACGAACAATGCTTTGTTATATTTTAACAACTTCGATCCAATTTATTTCTATATTTAGTTACAATTTTTAATTATTTCGAAAGGGAAACAGTAAACAAAATTTCATTCAATTATTTTTTGACATAAACGGAAGGCTCAGATCGCCCCCCCCCCCTGAAAATGGGGCCCGGGGCTATAGCCCCTTTTAATTCGGCGCTGACTTTAAATATCCAAAGTATTTTGATTTAAAACTTTATGTTAGCTATTTAATAATATTTTTTCCACGTAGAATATCTGATTCTGTAGAGAGGATTTTTGAGGATTTTGGAGGTTATGTTGAGGTAGATTAGTTCCCATAGGTAATTAACGTCACCTATAAATCATTAAAAATATATTCTATTTATCAAAAACGTAATACTTTAAATATTCAAAGTATTTAGGTTTGAAACTTAATGTTATCTTTTTCTATAACAAAATTTTAGTAATAGTTTTTCTATGTGGACTATCTGATTCTGTTGAGGGGATTGTTGAGGATATGTTGAGATTGGATAGACGAATCGAAAGGAAATTGCAAAAACGCTATTCAACAATTCTCTTTGGACCCGCCAACATATTATATTTGCATTCATCCACATCGCCGGCTGAGGTCCCTAGGATGTCAGCATGTGGAATATTTCTAAATTGGCGGTCAGTCGATTGTCACCTAAATACCTAAATGGAATAATTGGAGCTGGATTGGCCTTACCGGCTATTTTTAGCCTGGCATCAAGGGGTAGACCCTATCTGGCCATCTAAAAATAATCTGACAGCAAATGGACCGTTGAATGTTTTCAGCCACTGGCCCCTCTTTGCTTCTAAGACACTTTTGCTTTTTATTCACCGTGGAAACATTCTTTTTTGCGATGTAAACCTGACAGGCTCAATGGCTCTCGACTCGAGATATCGAAAATCGACGAGATTAAAGATCCCCTGGGAATACCAAGGGACAGAGTATAAAGATGAGAAAAAACACCACTGTACAATACAAATGTATTTTTTAAATTTTCATTAGTCTCCGATAAAAAAAAGTTGTAAAAATGTGACCTTTACTATTTTCATCGCGATTCCGATCAACTGCAACTTTCTCAACATTTTCTTACACATTTAGTAAACTAATCGAAGCTCAGCCGATGGCCGGGTCAATTGTGACCCGTAACACAATCTAACCATGGGAACATTGGGAGTTACAAATGTCTAGGTGATCCTGTAAAGAATTGTAATAATCTGAACGAATAACTTTCTAACCTCACAAGAAAGCTCAATTCAATTGGTCCAATTTTCAAAAAGTTGTTCTGTTTTTGAAACGATGCGTGAATACTTTTTCTATCCACTGTACACTTACGAGCAAACTCAGCTTCCACTAAGGGAAAAATAACGTCAATATTAATGATAATATGTCAAATTAACATTCAATTTAACATTTATTTCAGTACTCGGAATAAATTTATTAAGTTGTAGGAGGCTCTTCCCTGACGTCACTTTTTCCCCTAGTGGAAGCCGAGTTTGCTCGCGAGGGTACATACGATCCAGCCTTGTGGATGGCCATTGGACCATTGTACACGTCATTCGCGATTCGCTAAACAGGTTTAAATCTATCCTCGCGAAAATATCCCGCTGGCACGATCTAATTGTCTCGTTAAACACGCTGAACACGCGTGCATTCCTCATTTATAACAGCTCCAACAAGTTTCTTGTCCTAGCTCTTTGTGTCAACCTATATCCTCTACTGCGAATTTTCGACGAATTATTGGCATTAACTTCAACCATTGTTACACTTCGAAAAAACAAGGAATCATCCGAAGAAGTCGGTAAATGATACCAGAGACAGATTATTTCAAATGGAATATATTATTTTCCGTCGTTCCTTGGTTGGATTCCAGGAACAGACTGTGCAGAAACGAAACGTTCGAGGAGATCGGACGTGATGAATGTAGGTGGCGCGGCACGCTTACCGCAACATTAAATTAAAGCCTCTTCTGGCCAGCAAATTAAACTTTTAACCCAAATAGACCGTTCACGGTAACTCCTATCGCCGTGCGAACAGTTTGCCTCACGACTATTCTCCACTTGAGGGAAACCTTGCAAAAACCCCGATACCAAACATTTCAACTTTGGTTCTGTTAAGTTATTACAAATCTTTGGAGGATCACCTACAGATTTATTAACCCACAATCAGCGCCGGAACAAGGGGGGGGGGCCTAGGGGGGCTGTAGTCCCGGGCCCTACGTTCCAGAGGGCCCCATTATGAACCTTCCATTTCGTTATGAATAAATGTTATTTAATTTTATTTAAAATAAATTTCAATTTGTGAAGATTTACGTGTTTTATTGTGCTGTATTCCAAAATAACCCTCTTCGCTTTTCTAACCAAAGGGGCCCCCGGAATTTGATAGCCACGTGCCACCAAAAATCTTAATCCGTTCCTGATCACTATGTCCCCACGGTTAAATTGTGTTACGGATCACGATTGACCCAGCTACCGATTGGGTTCGATTATTCACCCGTAATGTTCTTTAGGGTAGATTATGTTACGGGTCACGATTGATCCTAAGCCATCGGTTAAGGTTCGATTATCAATCTCCAACATATCTACATTTAAATTGTGCTACGGGTCACGATTGACCCGGCCATCGGCTAGGTTCTGATTATCTACCTATAACATTTCCAAGATTAAATTGTGTTACGGGTCACAATTGACCCGGCCACCGGCTAATGTCCGATTTACTTCCCCGAGTAATTCTAAATAAAAAGAAACGATTCAAAATAAAATTTTGTTCCCCGCTGATACGCAAAACGACTCGAATCCCCATCCTATTCAATTGACGTATAATCATTATAGAAGCGAACTTGTACAGTTTCGCGAAGTGAAAAACAGAATGATTAGACCACTTGGTCGGTGCCCGTGTCCGTCGATGTGGAGCAAACACCGCCGGCCCCGAGTCTGAACACGCGGTAAACGTGTAAACTTTCGTTTTAGAACCGTCCTTGCTGCGTATCGAACTAGGTTTAATTGATTCCCTAAACTTCAACGAGACCAACAGTCCTCTTCGTCGGCAACGTGCCTAAAGGTACGTATTCACGTGACAGTAAATCGTGACTTTTACGGTCCAGACACTAAATATTACGACTTTTAACGTCGTGAAAATGTGTGGCGTCGTGACATGGATTTACATTCATATAGTGTCACAACAACAAAACCCATGACGTTTAACCTTCATTCGTCCCTTGTGTCAATTTGACACAGTTTTTTCCAAAAAAATGACGTTATTTTGTCATGTGTAGTTAAATTTAGCTGAGGCCTTCTGATTTTTGCCTTAAAGAATTTGTAAATTTAACTATTTGTCACTTAATTGTATTAATTTTTACCACTGGGTGTTTATTTGTCCCAGGGACAAATTAAGTTGGGAAAATGAGGCGCGGATGAGGGTTAAGGTACGTTTCCACGTGACATTAAAAGTCATGACTATCGTTCTTGCAACACTGTATGAGAATGTAAACCAGTGTGATGACAACGTGACATCTAATTTTTACGACGATAAAAGTCATAAACAGTTAGTGTCATGACCGTTTAGTGTCAAGTGAAAACGTACCTTTACTGTTACGTGAAAACGTACCTTAACGCATGCCACCGACTACCGATTTTCTGCACCTGCTCTCTGTTCATCGACTCGAACGGCCACTTAACACATTCACTGCCTCCGTCGGCCACCGGTGACCGACGGAAGAACCTCCATTTCACAACGTGCCGGTCACCGGTGACCGGCGGAAGAACTTTCATTTCACACATTGCTGTCGAAGGAACCTTTCGTTTATACTGCGCCGGTCACCGGTGACCGTCAGGTGATACAAATTCAAATGTCAGAGTGGATGCACCAATAAAAGGACATTATACATAAAAACGAGTAAAGTAAGTTATTAAAACAAGCAAATGATGAAATATTGACTTTTCAAAATTTCAAACATTTTCCCGTCATTGCACAGTGGTCCAGAACGCCGATTTAGGAGTTCAGATGCTTAATTGGGGTGTAAAAATGGAAATATCAAAACCAAACTTGGTAAGCATGTATTTAATGTTCCTTTTTATTAAAAAAAGAAAAAATTAATAAGTAATGTTTGTTAATAATAACTTTTTTATAAACAAAATAAAAAAAAATTTTTTTTTATATTCTCATTTTTACACCCAAATGAAGCTTTTGAATTCCTAAATCAATGTTCTGGACCACTGTGCATTGGTTAAAAATGTTCATTTACTCAACTATACCTTTTCTTTTTAATTTAATTAATAACAATTTTTCCAATTTTTCAAATTAAAATCTATACGTTATATGTACATAGATATTAAAAAATCTAATTTTCACGAGCCAAATATTTTTGTAATATTATCATTTAAAATTCGACTTGAATATTTACGAAAGCTGTTCAGTGTTCATTCATCGGTGCGTTTACCCTAATCGGTGTGAGCCGAAAGTCAGTCGAAATGGCGCCTTCGGTCACCATTTTAAACGTCTACGCCCATTTTTTAGCGAAACAGTCACTTCGAGGCCGCGACGTTTTAACGATTCTGAGATCGGACTGTAAGAAAAGATCAGTATCAATCGTTGAGTATATTTATTCTGAAGTTAATACGTTTTAGGTAGGTCCAGAAGACGAGGCATTTAGAAATGGGCCCGTACCGAAGTGTCGCGCGCTCGAAACTGACGACAGGTCCTTATGGTGATCACTGACACTAGTACTATTCTGGGAACATGTTTACGTTTGGTCTTCCTTTTTTGTTGACAACACTCATTCTCGTAGTTTGTAATATGGGAGTCAGGCTACGCCCGTATAAGAAATATAAAAAGAATTCGATAGGATGAGGTGGAGAATTATTCCAAGGAACAGTAAATTGTCAGTCGTGGACGGTCGAGTGTCGGTAAATTTTCCGGGAACAATGATACGTGTGTCTGTGTGTTCTCAGCTGACATCGATTCAAGCCGTCGGTGACACATGAATTTCCCCTTGAAACGCTCGATCCCGAACGGAGCACCTGTTATCGTGAATACTCTAGAATTCCAATAAGCCACGACTGAGGATAATTGAAATGACTTTGCATCGAGGAATAGAGTCAAGTGATGTGTACACGTTTCAGCAAACAAACAATCGATTCATCCCGAATTAAACGACGAAGAAACCATGGATTTATACTGTATATTTCAAGGCAAAGTGATTCTTGTCCGATTTCTTTGGGGGATCAATGATTCAGACAGATCTAAGTGAATAATCGAAGAAAACTGAACATTTCGATCCTTGTGTTGCTCGAGTTTTAGCTAACGATGCTCCTCACCAATGGAACCTTTGCTCGTGCGGTCGAGGGTCAATTGGTTATTAACTCAGACAGCCGTAACGGGCTATTAAACCGTTTCATTGTCATGAATGTTACCGTAAAAAAAAGACAAGGAAATCACGTTCCTACCGTGAGTCATTCCAAAATCAGAGAATCGTCTGGTAAGAGCCAATTAATAGGGTATCGTAAGTTCAATCAATATTCTCGCTACCATGGATGCTTCTGGTATACCGTCTCAAGTAACAAATATTCTTTAGAATTCCAGAACTAAGAATCCCATTGTATTCAATTGTACAAAAAAAATACAGGATACCCTAACTCTCATCCTCTTAAATAGTCTAGGTCTGATCAGACCATTGTTCCAACTTCATTTAAAAAATTAAACTGCTCCAAATGCCCAAATGTTCTAGTAAAGATAAGTTCTTCACAATTCTAGCACTAACACCCCAAGTTACTCAATTATACTAAAAAAATATAGTATCCCCTTACTCCCATCCTCTTAAGCAGCCTAGGTCTAATCAGATTACTGCTCCACCATCATTTAAGAAGTTAAACTGCTCCAGTAAAGATATATTCTTCAGAATCCTAGCACTAGTACTCCAAGTTACTCAATTATACTAAAAAATACAGACCCCCTAACTCCCATCCTCTTAAACATCTTAGGTCTGATTAGACAACTGCTCCACCTTCATTTAAAAAATTAAACTGTTCCAGTAAAGATATATTCTTCAAAATCCTAACACTAGTACCCCAAGTTACTCAATTATACTAAAATATTCAGTATCCTCTAACTCCCATCCTCTTAAGCAGCTTAGGTCTAATCAGACTACTGATCCACCTTCATTTAAGAAGTTAAACTGCTCCAAGTGCCCTATAGGTGTCACTCCATATAGATACATTTTTCAGAATGCTAGAACTACTATCCCAAGTTTCTTTATTATACTAAAAAATACAGACCCCCTAACCCCCATCTTCTTAAACATCTTAGGTCTGATCAGATCACTGCTCCACCTTCAATTAACAAAATTAAACTGTTCCAGTACAGATATCTTTTTCAAAATCCTAGCACTAATACTCCAAGTTACTCAATTATACTAAAATATTCAATATCCTCTAACTCCCATCCTCTTAAACGTCTCAGGTCTGATCAGACCACTGCTCCACCTTCAATTAACAAAATTAAACTGTTCCAGTAAAGATATATTCTTCAAAATCCTAACACTAATACCCCAAGTTACTCAATTATACTAAAAAATACAGTACCCCCTAACTCTCATCCTCTTAAACGTCTTAGGTCTGATTAGACAACTGCTCCACCTTCATTTAAAAAATTAAACTAGTTCCTAATACCCCAAGTTACTCAATTATACTAAAAAATACAGTACCCCCTAACTCTCATCCTCTTAAACGTCTTAGGTCTGATTAGACAACTGCTCCACCTTCATTTAAAAAATTAAACTAGTTCCTAATACCCCAAGTTACTCAATTATACTAAAAAATACAGTACCCCCTAACTCCCATCCTCTGAAACATCTTAGGTCTGATCAGACCACTGCTCCACCTTCAATTAACAAAATTAAACTGTTCCAGTAAAGATATATTTTTCAAAATCCTAGCACTAATACCCAAAGTTACTCAATTATACTAAAAAATACAGTACCCCCTAACTCCCATCCTTTGCAACATCTTAGGTCTGATCAGATCACTGCTCCACCTTCAATTAACAAAATTAAACTGTTCCAGTAAAGATATATTCTTCAAAATCCTAACACTAATACCCCAAGTTACTCAATTATACTAAAAAATACAGTACCCCCTAACTTCTATCCTCTTAAACATCTTAGGTCTGATCAGACAACTGCTCCACCTTCATTTAAAAAAATAAGCTGCTTCAGTAAAGATATATTCTCCAAAATCCTAGCACTAATACCCCAAGTTACTCAATTACACTAAAAAATTCATCATCCCCTAACTCTCATCCTCTTAAACAGTCTAGACCCAATAAAGTCTGCATTACCTAGAACCATAAAAAAAAAACTCCACCTAGCACCACAAAAGAATCCAAGCTGGACAGTTCCAAGACACCTTATCGCCCAGATGCTATCGATTCATCGTCTCCTCGACCCCCATAGACCACCTTATCGCGGTTCCCCTTATCGATCTAATCTCACCTGCCGGACGTTGACTTCACGGTTCCATTCGCGTAGAGATCGGCTGCCATGTCACTCCCACGGCCAACTTAGCATATCTTCCCCCGTCGTTCGGAAGAAGCTGTGTGCAGCTTGGGTCTTCAGCTCTGTACTCGAGGGCACCCAGAAGAAAAACGAACCAGTTCACTGACAACGGTCAACCTTGACCGGGTTCGTTCTCACTGGACCGATTCCACGGTCCCGAAACGCGACCCCGGCACCCGTCATCCTGACCCTCTTCGACCCTCCCAATCCTCTTCCAACACGATCCTGTTTCTCGAGACAGAGAAAAAAAAACAAAAAAAAAAAAAATAGGAAAAACCACAACGGATGTAAAACGTCGAAATATACGGATGGCTCGACCCGCGATCAGCAGAGATTCGAACGTGGCTGCGCGCAGAGACGCGGTCGGATCATCCTGAGCTCGACGTCGACTGAACTACTTATGTCAGACGGGGGCACTGTCAATTGGATAACTACCTCTATACCGCGCACACCGACATGCCAACGCGAAGAATACGTGTTGATATCGTTTCCAGGCTCTGCTCTGCCTATCCCCCCCTGTGATGGGGGACTCCCTGACCACCATCTCGAAAGTGCTAATTCGGAGGATCGAAATAAACAGTTATTTTTAACAAAAGTCTTTCCGAGCTTGTACGTTTCGTCTATGAAAATATTTCTGTTCTTGTGGTGTTTTTATGGAAAGAAATGGTGTTACCCTTGGAGAATTACATTAACCCTTATAGCATGGACCGTCGAAGACGGCGGCTGAGTCAATCGTGACACATGGGAATATCTCGAAATATTTGTTGCATTGATGTGTAAGATGTTTAGGGATTGAGGCTCACCGATCGGTCACCGGTTAGTAAGTGTTTACATGGAATAGATAAAAGTTCAATGGAAACAAGTTATTTGGGAACGTTAAAAAAAGGTTCCATACGATAAATAAAAGTACCGAACTATTAGGTAGTGTTTTTTAAGAATATAATTTCGAATTATTCGTGTGTTTATTTAGTAAGAGATATGGAAAAATCATAACGTGAGTAATCGATAGTTTTGGAAGAAGTGCTGAACAGAAAGGAGAGCTTGTCAAGAATAATACCTTAAGAAATTCTATAATATACTGTGTACATAATACGTATATTTCTGTAATAGAATATACTGGACGAGTCAATAAGAACTACTATCTAAAATAATTCGTTACCTGTTGGTTGTATCAGTAAACGTTTTAATAAACTGTGTAATATTTTAAGGAACGCATCGGATGGATACAATTTGATATTTTTATATCTTATTTTTCTTGAGATATCAGGTGACCTTGAGTTTTTTCAAGGTCAATGCATCTTTTTTTTAACACCCCGTTGTTGTCGATGAAAGGACGAGTTCAACGACCTATAGCATGATGGTATTAAAAAACAGATGCGTTGACCTTGAAAAAACTCAAGGTCACCTTGATACATAAAAAAAATAAGATACAAAAAAGTCGAGTTGTATCTATCTGACGTGGCCCTTAAAATGCTACATAATCCATTTAAACGTTTTCTGATACAATCAATGGGCAATTAATACAATAAATAATAACTTTTTTAGACAGTAGTTCCTATTGACTCACCCTGTATGTTTGTATCGTACTCTGACGTGTCGAATTTTACGTATAAATTTCAAAATAGTTAATAATTATTTAGTATCTTTTTTTGGAAAATAACCTTTATTATAATAAACTTATTATACCGTACCTATATTTACTTAACTGATCAGGAACTAGATCCGTGACGGTACGCCTAATACTAGAGGCCCTGGTGAGGAGAGTAATATACTGCTCTAGGACTTGAATCAAGTGATTTACATCTTTCCTATTCAGCCACTGAAACTATCCTTAAGTACAGAGTTAGTTAAAATTACGTTAGCTTCTTGACGATGATATTTGCATAGCTGTTAGTGGTGGGTGATATTTATCGACCACTGTATATATCGTTATTTTAGAAACTAATATTTCCTCTCTGCTAATAATTACAGGCATCGAATAATTTCTGTCAAAGTATTGATATTTTTTTATAAAAAAGAATAAATACTTACATTAATTTTCACCGAAATGAGAAACCATTTATCTATACAACACTTTCAACAAGAATTCCCAGATAGCACATGACGCCTTGAAGACAGCTCAAAGGCGTAGACCTAAAATAGCCGTAAAATGAACGTCTTCAAGACGTCATGTGCTATCTGGGTTATTATTTTGAACCTGTTGGTTCTTAAAAGATTGAAATTTATACGTTTTTTTATGTATATTTTCTAATAACGAATAAACACTACTTGAAAAGTAAATTACTTCTTTTCATTTGAATGCTTTGAATCGTAATTTAAATAAAATAAATTCTTAATACTATACAAAAATTTGTATTTTGGAAAATTCGTTTTGAAAATGATATTCTCTTAATTATATTCAGCTTATTTTTTAATTCGTGAATTGATAGGATTTTCATATTGATATTTTTATCAGTATTTAACAAAAATATACTTATCGATATTGGAAGTAATATCGCACATCTCTAATTTCTGTCTAACCCGGTATACAAAGAAAAATTTAAAGTACCATAAAATTGTACATAAAAAATAACAGAAACGACACAGAAATTAATAGAGAATGGAAAAGATTAATGACACAAATTTTGGGGCCCAGAATTGCTCGATCATTTTTGGAAGAGATTAATAATCGTTCACATTTTTCGCCTGGTTTTACTTGGCTAATACTACGTCATGCCACGGTTACTGCACCGCGAAACACAGCGATCGGCACGGGGAAGAGTAATTTATATCATACGACGCGAAGCACGTCAGCTCAATCACGATCGACCTTGCTGACCGGTTTGTACTGTTTTTCACGGGATTATCGTCGTCTTCAAAGATTCATCAATACATCACCATGATTCCCTGACGTCATCGTTCCCATTGATAATTGTACAAATCATTTGAAATTTCGAGAAAGAGCACCGTAAAATGATAGGGAAAACACTAATTCCGATCAAATGATTTTCTTTTTTCCTCCGTGAAAATTTCATACTTTTCAGTCTTTTATAAAAATTAATTTGTCCACGCATTATAGCGACTACTTTGCCCCTACTTTACACGAAATGCAGTTGAATTATAAATTGGGTACTCTACAAAATGGTACCTTGCAGAGGCAGACTGAAAACTGTTGCTGCTAGGGAAGGTCTTATGCAAGATGAAGTAATTGACTCGTTCAAGACACGCCATTGTAATGTACGTTTTCTTTTTAAATATTGTCTCCTTGGTCGATATACACTAGTCCATTCGGTTAATGAATTGTTGAGGCCGACCAGTGGTGTCCTTTAATCGCATTTTCTGGCGTCGCGCGTTGCGTCATCCGTTAAAATTCATGGTTCTGACGGAGGTCTCGGCTCGTGTTGGAGACCTATCAAACTTGATAAAGCATAAATCGTGCGCCGGAGGGGTTCCGCTAAGTGGGAATGGAAGTGGAGTGAATCGGTCGTTTAATAATGGTAACTGACAAAACGGCAGAACGATCGTCGATCATTGATGGCTCTCCCCGTTTGAATCCCTTGACTTACAATACTTTTTTACCGTGAAACACTAATTCGTCACTCTGCAACAATTATGTACAAGTTCGATCGAAGAAAACAGTGAGGTGCCATTTTTATTCCCACTGTGTATAAAGGTAGAACGATCTGTAACTGGGGATAAGTCTCACAAGGAAACTTCAGTGTACCTTGAAGAATCGAAATTTTCAGGGTGCCAAAGTTCCCTTGCGGGACAAGTATTTTTACACATTTTATACAATTTTGGTATTCATCATTCTAATCACTTTTGTCCTATAAATTTCCAGTTCGCCGGCATGGTATATGCAGCCCACGATGCTTACAGATTCATGAAGAAAATCGATAACGACTACGAAAATTCCTGTATGCTGAGAACGTACAACGATCCTAAAACCATTCACCCTCAACGTCAACGTCTTCCCCTCGCTCGAGACGTGTCCTATCCAGACGAGTACTACGACGACGATTTGAAGCAGAAACAGGCGGAGGAGCAGCCCTTGGATAGGAATAGTCGAAATTCATTACTGTCCGTCTTGTATCCGAGTCAGACACCGGTCGGTCCTGTATCCAACGAGGAGAAATAAATATATGCCTTCGTTCAGCAATCCGATTCTGACCGTTTCACGTTCTCTTCGTAGGAGTACTATAACCTTTGCGAAACCGTAACTAGAAAAGTGCAGCTAGTCGACTCCGAGTACGAGTACCAACCACCGATCTACCAGGAGGTCTATTGTAAGAATTACCCTATCCGTGGCGACAGCCAGACCACCGTGAACTCTTTAAAGCAGGTAGAATGCAGGAGGGCAGTTGTTATTTCTCTTTAGCTTTTGTAGCTTGCGATTAGGTCCATTTGGCACCAAATGAGTTCCGTTTCTTCTAGGAGTGCGTCTATCCTGGGTCCCAGTGTGTCCAGAAATGGAGGACATTGGTCCTGGTGAAGCGACCATGGGGCAGTGAATGTTGGGAACCTTACACCAAGGAGATCGCTAGTGGTTGTGAGTGTATGTGGGAGAAGCCTTCCCTCGGAGACATAGCTGAACATTATTGAATTTTCATGCGGACGAGCCCTCGGGATTCAATGATCGAAGGAGCGAACGTAACAAACAGGCGCTTCTGCGACCAGCGATTTTATTCCATCGGACGATTGTTTATTTCATGATGTCTTCGTATAAAATTATTGATTCTGTTTTTATGACAATTCGCTGTACATCATTACATCTCCTCCCTAACCTGTTACTTCCATGAGTTCGCCTTGTGTTTTGGCAAAAAATGAAATCCCTCGGGCACTTTCCCTAGTAACATCTCCCTAACAAGAAATGCAATGTTAAAAGAATGATAATACTTTTGGTAGGACCACAGAAATGGTACACGTACGATAATTTAATCCAATCTGCACAGTTCGAACTGGCCATCATTGTTTCCATGTCATCGCGACCTCGGTAAAATGGCGGTCTCTCGTTGATTCTTTGCGGAGGTCTCTCCAAAATACCGATAGGAATATACCTAAGTAGAAATGGTATTAATAATGTATACAAGTAATGACAGGGTTACTATGCGAAACACGACTTATTCACCTGTGCAAAAAAGAAATCCACTCTAACATAAACCTTCTTGTTGTTTCAACTCCTCGGGTATCCGAGCCCCAATGTTCGAGACCGTAATTGGCATACTTTTTTAAAATATCAAATCTTTCCGAGCTCGAGACATCTAGCAACTTTTTCTCTTTTATTTCAGTAAATATCCATGGTTTTATTAATGCACCACGACCTACGGTGATACCCTGTACATTTGTGTAGGTATTTTGAATCCTCTGGTAATCATTGAACGACAGAATGTCACCGTTTCCAAACACAGGTACAGGATGTGCTGCTTTTGCGCATTTGTCTATGTACTCCCAGTCAGCTAACTTTGTATATCTCTGTTCACGCGATCGACCATGAACCTAATAATACGATACATAGTTTGCATCAGAAATATTTACTATACTGCATTATAATTATGCGATGCAAACACAAAAACATAAGTAACTTACTCACAGTGATCATGGATACGCCCCAGTCACGAAACTTCGGTATTAGATTATGGGCGATCGGTTTGTCAATATAGACACCTGTTCTAGTTTTGACAGTTAATGGTATACTCATAACTTGACTAACAGATTTCACAACAGTTTCTAATACATTCAGCCGATTAAGCATTCCACTGCCACCTCCCTGTCTATAGATCAAGTCTATAGGACACCCCAGATTCAGATCAATGAAGTCAATATCAATTTCTTCGTCCAATAATTGCGCACATCTGGTTAGTACGCCCGGATTATTACCACATAGTTGTACACCAAAGACATCCTCTGATTCGTGCCTTTTAACAAGTGCCCATTCCTCGTGAGCTCCTTGCAATATCTTTGGTGCCAGAGCCATTTCTCCACAAGTTATGTCTGCACCATACTCTTTGCAGATTCTCCTAAATGGCAAATTACCTACAGTTGTCAGGGGACTCAACAATATTTTATTCTTCCAATCAATTTTCTTCTTTTCCGAAGCTCTACACTTTATTAGATCAGAGTCATCGACTGGGCCAATATTTTTCTCTGTATTATTTATCACAGAGGTTTCATTATTAGATTCAGTTACTGGAATATCTGTAGCAGAACCATTTTTTACTATGGATTGCTCGGTTTCTTTCTCTACAGTTGCCTTTTTCCTGGATGGCTCGTTTGCTCGGACAGTTTTCTCAGCTTTGGAGAAATTGTACTTGTGTTTTCTCAGCTGCATTTGAAGATTCTTATTCAAGTGATTCTTGGTAGAAGGAAGCCTCGTCTTAAATTCTTCCTCCTTTTCTTTATCAATAATATTCAGACCATCCTCTGTCAAATGTTTAGAGCCTATTCTACACGCAGCACCTCTGGGACATTTGCCACTGCGATTGAATAGATAGCATTCTGTCCCAATGTCATCTGGCTTTATTTTTAAGTACTCTACCCTGTCATGCAAAAATGTGCAACGTTTGTTGTCGCATTTCTTTTCGGGTTCACCCACAGCTTGATCTGCTATCCAAGGGCACAGATTCACCTGTCGCTGAGCCTTGAATGGAGCTGGCCTAGCTTTATTTTGACCCCTAAGTTTCTCCTTTTTGTTGTCATTCTTAAATCTTTTATTCGGTGGTTCAACCACTGCAGTTGGTTCATCCTCTGCATTGTTGGAAACTTTTTGTTTGTCCCTTTCTGTTAAACACTCTTCGCTTAAGAGTCTCACGTGATCATCAAGAATATACCTGCAATAGTTTTTCGTGTAATTGGAGTAATATTTATTAAGGTTTTCATGACAACCATGTGATAGTTGAGATTAGCCAACATAATATAACATATTTCAAATGTCAATAGTCAGCAAATAAATGGTGAAACTTGAAACATACGGTACTGCAAACTTACTCTGCTTTGATTAAACACACTCCTTTCTGTTTATCCTCATTATAGTCAAAGGCACAATCGTCTCCACATTTTTCACTGTACGCCGCCATTTCAAATCATTCGATGTATCGAATCGTTTATGGTGGTTTATGGTCGAACATTTAAATTTTAAATGTTCGTTACCTTTGCCCCGTAGCCGCGAATGATCGTTAATTTAAGACCGACTCACAGTAGTTCTCAAACACGAACCATAGATCTCTTCCCAATAATAACTTCCAATTAAGATTTTAATTTACTGACTTACGTATATAATCAACTACTACTCAAACGGAATATTGGTTTTTAAGCTGCTCCTAACCTTATACACAGCTGGTAACTAAGCAAAACCTAACCAACAGACGTTGGTATCGCGTTACAAATTCGTCTGAGTAAGGGAAAACAATAAAGTTTCAAGGTATCATCGGATATTACATTCTTTGGAATTTATTGATTTTCTGCTGAAATTTCTTTAAATACGAGATGAAAGTTGAGAAGTACGATGGGGGCAATACAATAACCTTCAGAGGCCATATTCTTTCGGCTGAACTCTAACTCCTCCGCACGTGCTAGCGCGATTACGGTGATGCTTTCACGTACGGAGACACGATTAGAGAACCTGAAGTCGTTAAAGACAATCGGAAACAGTGTAGACCCGCAGTGCGGGTCGCGATGAGACGTTCGTATCGTTCTTATCAGTTGAATCCGTGCTCGACGTTGCAACGCTTTGTTCCTGGTAAGTCAACGTGCTTGCCCAACTCAATTGTAAATGTCGTTTCTCGATTACTGACAAAATGAACCGTCGTTTTTATGCCATAAATGACTTAGATGGAACAGGATATTATCCTGACTCCTTGTTCGGACAAAGAAATTAATTGTAAGTAACGTATAGGAAACGGAAAGTCAGAATTCTAATAGCTGTTAATTGGTGTCAATGATAACATGTTCATATCAGTAATAACATGAGGTCTTAATTGAAGGTACGTCACGCTGTCATATCCCGGGATTTAGGATCATCGAGAGACGATAGTATGATCGATATGGAATAATTAGTATTACAGAAAACTTGCCACTTTTTGTGTGATGTTTATTGAAGTTATTTCTTTCTGAATAACACATCGCTTTATATAAATTACTTTGACCTTTTTAATTATTATCACAGTCCTTGAATTCATTTATTAACGACGAAAGCAATTAACTCTGTTGTACTAATTATCTTTCTTTCTTTTGGTTTATTGTGCATAACCGAAGAGTATTGTGTGAGACGATAACTGGATATTCATTAATAAATCAAAAAAGTAAACATTGCTTAAGGTGGTTCGTAAAGATATGAAGCATAAAGAGACCCTGTTTGTCTAATATAGATTACATTTTATCTCTTCAAATACACACAGTCAATTATTGTCTATTATACACTTGCAAAAAAATATAACAATAAGTATAATTAATTATTCCTTTTTTTTTAATTATAGGACCAACAGTATGACAGAACCTGGTAAATTACAATGGGAGGATTACATAGTTATAGCAGTTACACTACTTATAAGTGTAGGTATTGGTATCTACTACAGATTCAGTGGTGGGCGTCAAAAGACTATGGAGGTATTTATTTGAGAAATCTTATGTAAAAATGAAAACAGTTTCTGTATGAAACATTAATAATGCCACAACTTTGACAGGAATACTTCATAGCTAGCAGATCAATGAGCATTGTTCCTGTAGGAGTAGCACTTGTAGTGTCCTTTATGTCTGCTATAACATTATTAGGTGTTTCTGCAGAAAATTATACATATGGGACACAGTTCGTAGTAATTAACATATCATACCTGATAGGAACACCCATTGTTTGCTATGGGTACTTACCAGTATTTTTCAAGCTCCAAGCAACAAGTGCTTATGAGGTTTGGTGGAATAAGTGAATGTGGACAAAGTTATTGTCAAAGACTTGAATGATTTTTTTCTTTCTTTTTTTTTTAGTATCTAGAGAAACGATTTGGTGTTAAAGCTAGGATGATGGCTAGTTTTGTATACTGGATTCAGTTGCTCCTGTATTCAGGTGTTGTGCTTTATGCACCTGCTTTGGCATTGGAAGCCACAACAGGAATTTCTAAAGCAGGCAGTATTATTATTATTGGACTAGTCTGTGCCTTTTACTCGAGCATAGGCGGCATTAAAGCCGTCCTAATAACGGACGTGTTTCAAGGAATCCTTATGTTTGTTGCTGTTTTTGTTATTATTGGTACGGCTGCCAATGAAGTTGGAGGATTAGGTGAAATTTGGCGTATCGCAGAGGCTGGTGGTAGAATTGAATTCGACAGGTACTTTAATTCTATAAGAAAATTTAGTCGAAATATTTATGCAACAATTGAAAAAATTAATACATTTTTTCTAGTATTTCTGTAGACCCAACAGTGAGACATACATGGTGGAGTCTTATTATTGGAGGTCTGTGTACATTTTTATCATTGTATGGTGTGAACCAAGTTCAAGTACAACGAATGTTGACTGTGAAGTAAGAATCGTAATATCTAGAACTAGAAGGAAATGTTAAAAGATATATTGTTTTTAATGAGTGTAATACTTTCAGAGATATGAAAGCAGCCCAAAAGGCACTGTGGATAGCATGGCCAATTTTAACCGTACTTTCAATGACTACTTGTTTCTCCGGGTTAGCAATTTATAGCAAATATTCCAAATGTGATCCTTTGAAACAGAAAAAGATCACATCGTCCGATATGTTGATGCCATATTACGTTATGGACACCATGTCTGATAAACCTGGTCTACCAGGTCTCTTTATAGCAGGTAAGGGTTTTATAACTGCTTCGCACTGTTAAATAATAATACTCTTAAAAATTTTACAACGATATAATTTCTTCGTATTCTCGCGCGTAGTGATTTCGAAACATTAATCTGCTTCTTATACGACTTTTGCTTAGGTATATTTAGTGCTGGCCTTAGCACAATTTCAGCAGCTTTGAATTCCTTAGCTGCAGTAACATTAGAAGATTACTTGAAACCCGCCTATAAGAAGTGTCGTGATAGCGAGTTATCTCTTACAACAACAACAACTCTAGCTAAATTGCTTGCTTTCGTATTCGGTATTGTTTCCATCGCTTTGGCATTTTTAGCTCAATTGTTGGGTGGTGTATTACAGGTGATACCCTTAATAATTAAACGATATATTCGTGTATTTTTACATACACTAAAAACTAACGAAATTTTATTCACACTGTTATCACAGGTCAGCCTAACCATATTTGGTGTAGTGGGAGGTCCTCTTTTGGGACTCTTCACGCTTGGTATGCTCACTGAAACAGCAACAGAAATCCCATCTGTATCCGCTGCCAGTGCATCTTTGGCCTTTCTATTCTGGATTGCTTTTGGACAACCCAGACCAAGTCCACCAATGTTGCCAGTGTCCATCGAAAGCTGTCTTGCGAATACAACCATGTCTACCTTGAATCAGGCGACGGAGTTCGCAGGGTGAGTAGAAATAATATCGTAGACTTTCAGTTCTAATCTAAATTGAGCTAATTTTCTCACCAAGGTCAACCTTTTGTTTCTGGTTTAGGGTAACAGGCGATTCATCTTACGTCTATATGTACCGTATTTCGTACATGTGGTACGGTCCACTTGGTTTTGTATTTACGTTCGTCGTAGGACTGTCGCTTAGTTACTGTTTAAAGCTATTATATAAAGAGAAAAAGGCTGAGTTGGATCCGAATTTGTATTTTCCTATGATAGGAAATCGTATACGACGTAGGCAACGAGTTTTAGAAAAAAATGAGCCCGACACCACAACGGATATCGCCACGCAGAGAAAATATTTGTTCACTGTTAACAGCTACAATGAGACGGAGAATAGGGATGAGTTTAGTGTCACCAAAATGTAGTGCAACCAGTTTTTGCATGATTTCTGTTACGTTCGTTGCGTGACATTTTAGATTTTAGACATTCCAAGTACAAAAAAGGGTTAAGTACCATGTCCCTCCCATATAGTCCTACCGATCAATTGATGTAACGAGATTGTAGATTGTTTGAGGGAGGATAATTAAAGAGGAATATTGTATTTTGATGGAAGTAACTTGCCTAATACGCGTGAAAATGTTGCTTCTGTTTTAGCCTTTTTCAATTTAGTTTGGGTTTTGGGGACAAGTATTCTTAATAGGTGTATGTATGAAAAGAATCAGTTCGCTCTGTTGAACTGTGTTTTATAGTATAAATTTTTGTACGTGTCATGTGTGAACACCGACACGTGTCAATGATGCGGTGAGCATTTAGTTGATAGACGAATGTTTTCTATCTGTTGTTCCTAACTGCCATTTTTCTACAGTTTCTATTTATTATGTACAAGACGTTACCTCAACAACCATTTCGACACATTGTGGTGCTTTCAATGTGCTGTATTATACACCTCAGAACATATTATTCTATATACAGTCATTGTCGTAAATAATATATCCAACAAGTTGTATTTAACTGTTCTAGTGTGCGATTATTTACTTGAGTGAAACCGAAACAAATTAGATATTAGTAAAATGATTTGTAATAAACATTAACGTCCATACAGTGCAAGATACACCCCGAGAAAATATTCTTTTGTATAAAACAGGTGATGCCTATGGTTAAGAAGGATAATAAAAAGAAGACAGACATTAAGGGGACAGAAAGACACTGGGACAGAAGTGTTTCTGGACCCGATCTACTACCAGCCTAACTGTCTACAAACTAACCACTAATATTCCAAGTTTTCATTTAAAATTCTATACAATAAGAAATGTAACTGAAGTCTTGTAACCCTGATGGGAAGCAATAACACACATAGATACATAAATAAAAAATTCTATATACTCTTAGACAATGGAAGGACCCCGGAAAAATGTATATTCAAATAAAATGTAAATTCCATACCCCATTTGATGACGCCCCCTCCCTTTTAACCCATTCTGCTGATTTTTTTCTTAACCGACGAATATCATGATACAGTTCAATTTATTAAGAATTTGTCTTTCCGTCCTGGAACGATGACTCGAAAGAGGAACGGTTCACATGAATTCTGCGGGAAGAAAGACGGACAAAAGTCTAAGGTACTTCTAAGAGGAATAGCAGCTCGGATCAAGCTACCGGCGGCCAGTTGAAACCAGTTTCAATTTGTTCTTGCAGTCCCGCGCTTCGATCGACGCAGCCTGGGCTCTTTTTAATTATTTTTCTAGTGAAACTCATACGCCGTTTGCCCCCCCGGCTCGTCTTAGTAAACTGGCAATTAATCCATCAAGCAAAACCAGTTGACGTTCCGTCATCTTGGGCAAGGTGTAGAACATATCCTGGCGCCCTATTGGTCCATGTAACACATGACGGTTCCCCATACGACCAGTGGGATCCAATTAATTGATCGTATCACTAATGTCGCTTCTGTCACGAGTTTCTCCAAATTGAGAGACCAGAGAGTGTAATGCTCCAGCGTGAACCCTTTGTGGCACACGTTTCTCTTCATTGTTCTAATTAGACAACGAAGAATATGATTCACCAGAGGAAAATATAATTAAATTTTACCTCGTTACTTTAACAACTGAGTTGCGTCTAGCTGCATTTTTGAAAGGTTGAAATCAGTTCCTGGCACTGTGATGTGTTAAATAGGGTGGGTGCATCAACGAATGAACAGTATATATATATAAAACGAGTGAAACAAACTATTAAAATATGCAAATGATTAAATATTGTTTCTTTTTCAATTCCTTGTTTCGTATTGAAACAATTTTCCCGCCATTTGTTAGAAATCTTCATTTACTTAATATTATTCATTCATTCCCAAACACACGGCTTAAAGGTGCCTCAGACATAAAATAGCCGTAAAAAGGGCGTCTTCAAGGCGTCATGTTTGGTGTAATCTGTAGATTTCTCTTTTAAATCCTTTGCACTCGAAGCTCGTTCAAATCCCAGATAGCACATGACGCCTTGAAAACGCTCATTTTACGCCTTTCTTTAGGTCTAAGGCGGCTTTAAGCCGTCTTCAATTTGTCATTAGACGCCATGTTCTATCTGGGATAGGGGAAGCTAGCAATTCGGATGTTTTTTTTACCAATAAAGAATCAGAAACTCGACGAAATCTTTTAAAATACACACATAACAAAATAATATATTCTTTTCCCAAAATTTCAATGTTTAATACATTTTTTTAATTTTCAATTTCAATATGTGAAAATATAATAATTTCTGCTGTGATCTTTAAGGAAGTATACACTGCAAGGTTACTGTGGCTTCCCACTTGTTATTCGAGTTACTACGTTAAATTATATGGCTATTTATGTTAACTCAATTAATTGCATTCTTCCAATTTCTCAAATTGAAAGCTATGCATTGAAAAAAAATTAAAATCATCTAATTTTTATGTGTCAAATATTTATTAATACCATTAATCATGTAACATTTGACTTTAATAGTTTGGAAATCTCTCAAGTGTTCATTCATTGATGCGTTTACTCTATTTCTCTGTTGTACTGACAATACTGACATTCTGACAAATTCCCACGACACGATCTATCCTCCCCTCCCGTGTCACTCGATACTGTTTATTTTCATGGTATTCCACCTTTGTTTCCGTTCCTCTATCTCTCTCTCTCTCTCTCTGCTTGACCTCATACAGAGTTCGAATGTTTAGCAGTCCGCATCGAATTTCGAAGTCAACGGTCTTCTACACACCCGTGGCATTATGCTGTTGATCTTTAAAAAGGAAAAGAAAAAAGCCCTGGACAGAGCATCAGTTCGTATATTCCGATAATCAAAAACGGGCCAATTGATTCGTCACTTGAACTCGAGAAGACATTTCGATTTTCTGGGGGCTTCTCTGGGGCTATTTACGCAGAATTTATACGCGATTTGCTACAATTTACGTTCAGTGTATGAAGTTTCGGAGGTGTAGAAGTGTGGTGGGATTTGGTCACCAGGATTGTTCTCTGGCGACTGGTCTCTGGAGGAAGAAACCCGTCTGAAAATACGGTAAGTACCAGACAGTTAAACCAGTGAAAATGACGGAATTCAATTTTGTTATTTTACAATTACTGAAATCGTACCAGTGCTTTGGTCGATATTTATGTCGACATTTAATTCACTATATATTCTACATTACACTACACTATGTTATAGTAGATCATTATATGATAGCACATATATATGATATAGATTTTGGGAAAAGAGTATATTATTTTATGTATATATTTTAAAAGATTTCGTCGAGTTTCTGATTCATTATTGGTAGAAGAAACTCCGAATTGCTAGCTTCCCTTATCCCAGATAGCACATGACGCCTAATGACATCTTGAAGACGGCTTAAACGCGCGTTAGACCTAAAAAAGGCGTAAAATGGGCGTCTTCAAGGCATTATGTGCTATCTGGGATTTAAAACAGCTTCGAGTGCAAAGGGTTAAAAAGAAAAATGTACAGATCACACCAAACCTAGATAGCATATGACGCCTTGAAGACGCCTATTTTACGCCTTAATTACGCCTAAGGTGCCTTTAAGCCGTCTTCAAGGCGTCACGTGCTATCTGGCATTTGAAACAGCTTCCAGTGCAAAGGGTTAAAAAGAAACATCTACAGATTAAACTAAACCTAGATAGCATATGACGCCTTGAAAACGCCTATTTTACGCCTTAATTACGCCTAAGGTGCCTTTAAGCCGTCTTCAAGGCGTCATGTGCTATCTGGGATCCACCGTGGAAGTTACGAACCCATTTTTTTTGGTTCACTCTGTATGACTGATTCAAATATTCCGCCATTTTGGAAAGGAAGCGTTGTTCGATTTTTAAGGGTTGTACACATAAAAATGAATGAAAATACCAAACAGTTAGTAGTATATATGGCCCACCCAGTACATTTCACGTGTTCATTCATCGAGGATCGGTGGCAATCTGTTGAACATCGTGTGAGTCACCGTGTTCCCAGTAGAATTAGCATAATCAATGAACGACGGAGGATTCCATTAAATCGCGTTGTGCCATAAATAATAGAAGTTATCCGACACCCGTCTCCACTTTCGCGCACACATGTTCGTTTGTATACCATGCAGGTTGATTACCATAAATTGACAGTGAACGATCTATTACGCAATTGCACGTAACCGGAAGCTTTCGTAAACAAAAAAAACTCGAAGATTCCATAGACAGTGACAGAGAAAGAATTCTTGGAGTTTTTTCGGAGGTTTTTTTTTTGGAGAGATTTCGATAGGTGATCGAAAATATCGTTACGAGTGGGAAGATTTGATAAAAGAAACAAAAGTCTGACGAAATAGATAGTAAATGATAAGTTATGGATATATTATTCACATTGATGAAACATCCCAGATAGCACATGACGCCTTCAAGACGGCTTAAAGACGTCTTAGACCTAAAATAGCTGTAAAATGGGCGTCTTTAAGGCGTTATGTGCTATTTGGACAATAACCAATGGGGTTAATTAATGCAGCCTTCGATGTTGTCTTTAAAAGTTTGCTGCCCAACAAATTTCTAAACCCATTAGGAATTATAACGAGCTGAAGCAAAAATTTTGAAATTAATTACAAGGCCCCAAGGTGTTTTCTGTAACCATTAGACGGATATAAACTAAGAAGTACCATTATCAACTCTTTAAAACTGAAACCGATTCAGCCAGAATTCCCAGTAACGGAACTTTAACTGTTCAATTTAAGAATGACAGTCACCATGAATGCACCAGATCCTCACCTGACTCATACCACTATTTGATTCTATAAATTGTAAGCACACGTCTTATTCTTCAGTATATTTTCTTCCTCAAAATAATAATACTTCTCCCTCAAAAATTGAACCACAAACTACCCATAACTGGACTGTGCCCAGATAGCACATAGATGGCTTAATGACGGCTTAAAAACGCCTCAGACCTACGATAGTCGTAAAATGGACGTTTTCAAGGCGTCATGTGTTATCTGGGAAAGGCTCTAGAAATCACCACAAGAAGAAACTATGTACATCTACTTTATTTCTTCCAATATATCTTCCCGCGAAAAAATATTTTTTAAGCATTTATTTTGCAATTGTTTTGAAGGATTGCAATTTTATAATAGTAAGACCTAATTGAAAAATGCGACGAAAACGAGGTGTGACTCGACGCAGCGTTAACTTCAATTCAATTGAAGACAGCTTAAAGACGCCTTAGAGACCTAAAATAGCCGTAAAATAAGCGTCTTTAAGACGTCATGTGATATCTGGGAGGTTATGTTGCAGGACTTTCTGCCAATTTGCTGTAGCATTTTATCAGCTGGCGTTGCCTGCAAAACCCAAGGCAAATGCAGTAACAACTTCTGTCATTTATTTCTGGCAATTTGCTCGAAACTTGTATACAACTGGTTATGGAAATATCGACGCTCATAATCGACATTCCACAAACATCCGCAAATCCCTGCATCAGGCCCATTGTCTCGGAGAAAATAGGCCGAATCGGGCATCGGCACAAAGACACATCGAAACTCACGACTTCAGACAGCAATAATTCTGATTGCCTCGAATGAACGTCACACGGTTAAAATGGCGAACGTTGGTCAAAGGGTTAAACGGAGCGATTCAAGAGGCAGAACTTTAAGGAAACTGGCGACAATCATGGTTTGTTTACAACCCCGTAAGCTCCGACCGGTTAAAACTTGTTCCAACCCGACTGGTCTAGCATGGATTTCAGTGTGTTATTACGTTCATTTTTCGCGTTCGAATCTCCAACTGATAGAGGAGCCAGTGGTAGCCTATCAACCCTGATTATCGCACCGAGAGCATTGTTCGCTTGACTCTCTCTCTTGTCGTTCAAGTCCTGTCCCACGTCCAGGAGCTTCGTTTCCCTCCAAACTCGATAATGGACACAGCAAAGCACCGAATTTCCCAGTTATCGGTGCTACGAGCAGTGAAGAAATGGACATCACGATGGATACTATAATATACACTATTAATTCGATAATTGTCGAATTATTCAGTAATTGTTCAGTGTTTGTGTTCTATTTCTTCAAAAATTCCTTTTTCTTGCGCTGTGATCGATCTTTCAGTGAAAAGTGAAACCCCAGAGCATTTACCTCCAATGATCAGTGAAAATTTACGTTAATAATTACGAAAATTACGACCCAGATAGCATATGACGTCTTGAAGACGGCTTAAAGACGCCTTGGACCTAAAATAGACGTCTTTAAGGCGTCATGTGATATCTGGGGAGTTTTTAGTGACGTGTATCGAAGAAGGAATAGGTGTCCAGTCAATTTAAAATGCAAAAAATAAATATAAGTGAACAAATTTTCATCGACTGGCTTCCAACAGAGACCCAAGATTCTAAAAGATCCAAGAGTAAATCTGAATCAATCTGATGGAAAGCTCTACAACGATTCTACAGCGAGGATTCACCCCGGCGATGTAGAATCTACAAGGTGTTAAACACGTCGTTCGATTCATCATCGTTCCACGTAATGGCAGCTCGACGTAATTATCGTCGCCGTTTCCGCAAGTCCGCGGAACGGTCCGATGAAACTGGCCGGCGCACCCTGGAAGGGGCTGGTTCGTATAAATGGGCACATGTGACAATTAAAACGACAGTCTCAAATCGTTCTCCGGCCTTAATCCAAAGCCCGGTGGGCCCTCCGCAAGATCGTGAAGCGTGAAAACTCGGCAGTAATTGATTAATCGTCACCGTTCCGTGGAGACTTAAGGAATCCAGAGATCATACATGCGTTACGTTAGGAAGACCAGCAAGATAATACAGCTTCAGTTCCGTACGTTTTTGTTGATTGTTCGACAATCGATCACGTTGTAGGGCTGTTTGTACTTATCCTGTAGCAGTGATCCTTTGGACATAGGGAGCTTGGAACAGGATTGCAGAGTGGACGGCCGTCATCTTGAGATTTACAGAGGTAAGGGGGATAAATTGTTGGGGGATTCCATGAGTTCTTTGGGTAGCTAATACCTTGGAATAGGGAAACTATGAGTTGAGGAGATAGGGAAAATATTGTGGTTATGGGGGATACATTGATAGCTAATTGGGTAGCTAATGTCTTGCAATAGGGAAACGAAAAGTTGAGGAGATTGGGAAAATATTGTGGTTATAGGGGATACATTGATAGCTAATTGAGTAGCTAATGTCTTGGAATAGGAAAATGAAGAGTTGAGGAGATAGGGAAAATATTGTGGTTACAGGGGATACATTGATAGTTAATTGAGTAGCTAATGTCTTGGAATAGGAAAATGAAAAGTTGAGGAGATTGGGAGAATATTGTGGTTATAGGGGATACATTGATAGCTAATTGAGTAGCTAATGTCTTGGAATAGGAAAATGAAGAGTTGAGGAGATAGGGAAAATATTGTGGTTATAGGGGACACATTGATACCTAATGTTTTGGAATAGGGAAACTATGAGTTGAGGAGATAGGGAAAACATTGTGGTTATAGGGGATACATTGATAGCTAATTGAGTAGCTAATGTCTTGGAATAGGAAAATGAAGAGTTGAGGAGATAGGGGAAATATTGTGGTTATGGAGGGTACATTGATAGCTAATAGGGTAGCTAATGTCTTGGAATAGGGAAACGAAAAGTTGAGGAGATTGGGAAAATATTGTGGTTATAGGGGACACATTGATAGCTAATGTCTTGGAATAGGGAAACTATGAGTTGAGGAGATAGGGGAAATATTGTGGTTATAGGGTACACATTGATAGCTAATGTCTTGGAATAGGGAAACTATGAGTTGAGGAGATAGGGGAAATATTGTGGTTATAGAGAGTACATTGATAGCTCATTGAGTAGCTAACACCTGAGAATAGGGAAACAAAGAGTTGAGGAGATAGGGAAAATATTGTGGTTATAGGGGACACATTGATACCTAATGTCTTGGAATAGGGAAACTATGAGTTGAGGAGATTGGAAAAATATTGTGGTTATAGGAGATACATTGATAGCTAATTGAGTAGCTAATGTCTTGGAATAGGAAAATGAAGAGTTGAGGAGATAGGGAAAATATTGTGGTTATAGGGGACACATTGATAGCTAATGTCTTGGAATAGGGAAACTATGACTTGAGGAGATAGGGGAAATATTGTGATTAGAGGAGACACATTGATAGCTAATGTCTTGGAATACGGAAACGAAGAGTTGAGGAGATAGGAGAAATATTCTGGTGACAGGGGACACATTAATAGATAATGTCTTGGAATAGGGAAACGAAGAATTGAGAAGATAGGGGAAACACTGTGGTTCTGCGTTCTTGAGAAAATGAATATATAATTCGCTGTTTTCAAAAATGGTGTAAGTCCATTTGTTCATACATTGAGGTATTTAAGGGTTTGCGTTTGAATCAACTAAAAAATATTGGCAAACGTTAACCGATTCGGATAATGTTTTTAAAACAATAAACTTGTTGACTTTTATTATATGTATAATAATATTTAATAAAATTGTCAAAGAAAATAAACGATTTTTTCTAACTGCGAGTGGAGTTGCACCACTTTAAATAATAACAGATTATGTAAAATATAAACAATAGCAATATATTAAAAACCAGACGACTTAGAACGAAATAATTTTTTTTGAAATATTTGATACGGGAAACATGTATGGCATTTTTTTAAAAAGTGGACTTAATATACTTTGCCTCTGGGATCCAGATTTGGTTTTGGATCGAGGGTAGTTTGTTGGAATGAAGTTCCTAGTAGGGTCTAGAATGCGTAGTGAGTAGTGTTGCGTAACCAAACAGAATTCAAGCCAGATGACGTCACGGGGCCTCGGCGGGGGGGATGATATATGATCCCTATAAGTCTCTGACGACCAGAAATGGGCAAACTCATTATCTAGATAAAAAGTTCCGAACAACGAATAAAAGATAAAAAAAGTATTTCGTCATTTTTAATTGTTTATGCGTGGAAATTTTAATTTTTATAATAAGACAATACTTCTTTATGAATGAATCGACATTTGTCGAACAATTGTTTAATCTAATTAACTGTTTAAAGCTCAGAACAACACCTTTAGATACTGCTGCTTTTCATTGTGTATTATTCGAATAAAATTCTGCCTGATTACAATGTAACACACAGAATGAATCACCCATTAATAAAAATTTAACCTTTTACTCCTTTCAGTGTAGTTTCTTGAAAATGTTATGAATAAATTCAGGAGATTCTCCTGATGAAAATAAGTCCAAACCCGACATAAATCAGATTATATTTAATAACATACAATTCATATGATACGAATAAATGTAAGAATTATTTTTCTACGTATGTGCAAAATAGGAGGAGTCGAGAACTTTTGGACTTTGCTACGTAGTTCGATGGACTGAAGTTGATCTTAGGTCAGGGATGGTTTGAAGTGAAGTTCATTTTTGAGTATGGGTAGACTCAGTAGACTGTGAATTTTTTTTAACTGTAGCTTGTGAAATGCACTAAGAGATAAAACTTTCATCAGATGCAACGAGTTTTCGATGTTATTCTTAGCCCAATAAGATATTCAAAGGAAGACAAATATTCCTACTTTTGGTCTTCTCCTTATGAGTTATTTTACAAAATGTTGATATGCATAAAAATCTGCAGTCCAGTTATGGGTAGTTTGACTTTCAAGAAATGGTGGTTATCTTTTTGGGGATGGTTCAGTTTTTGAGAGAGAAGTATATTATTTTAAATAAGAATCACGATGGTTGAAGTTTGAAAAACTAAGTTGAAGAGAGAAGAATCTTGCGATCATTGCATCTGAAGACAAGTCGATGTAAATCTGTTATTTGCAAATGTTAAATGTCAGAACAGAAAATTTAAATCTTAAATCATGGGATTATTGTACTCTTTCAAACAATCACATTTTGTTCTAGCTGTGGACAATAATAATAATATCTTTCATGAAATTAGAATCTACTGTAAAATAATATGTTGTTTGGTATGTAATTTGTTCAGTCGTAAATTTTCCAAGAAAATTAATTTCCAATCACAATATCGAGGGTGATTGACGAGGAAAACAAAGATTCTGTCAAGAAAATATATGTTGCTGCTGGCTCGTTAAGCCGTGAAGATTAAGTATCGCTTCTAAAAAAAACTGGTTCGAACCGGAAACAATCAAACCCAGCGATATTTGAGTATCATTAATTCGGCGGCAGCTCCATAATATTTACCGAAATAGAAATGTTTACGAATTCGTCCGCGATTCCGTCGTGAATTGACCGATGTCACTTTTAAGTGGGCTAAGTCTTCAATAGGACAGACCTGAAGTCTACAGAAAATTTCATCTTTTTCCTATTGTAAACAAATCAGAAGAAAAGCAATTAGAGAAAAATTTAATTACCACGTATCATATGAAAGGAGTATTTATAAAATGTTTATAAATACTCATTTAATCAATTCAACTAAATTCATCAAAATTATTATAAATACTGCTAATTCTAGAAGTATTTATAAATTTACTATAAATACTCATTTAATCAATTCAACTCAATTCATCAAAATTATTATGAATACTCCTTTTTGTCTTTCTTCTTTTCTTTTTCAATCAAAACGAATAATTCCAATCAAAACAAATATACATTAAAAGAAAAAAACATTTCCAAAATTATTTTCCACTAATGAATACACTCAGCTTGATTCTCTACTTCATTAATGAAAAAGAAATATTATTCATCGTTCCAGCGATATATCCTCGGCTTTGTTAGGTACTAGTCCCGTACTGGTCGCGAGTCAACTGGTTTCATCCAGCGTCAACCAGATTTCTTAATGACGATCGAATGTCCCGTGTTTAATAGCCGCAATGGCGGTGCAAATCTTTCGAAACAATTACACCCAATGGCGGGGGCACGATACACGCATCGAAACGAGACGTTACACTTTGCTTATAAATATAAGGCAGAAATAGTACATGGTTCATAGTCTGAGCAGTACCATGTGATGATCTCAACGTATCTGTTCAATCATCATAATTAAGGGGTTATATATCTTTGAGCTGTTAATTAAAAGTAAAATTTAAAAATATTTTTCTATATGCAGAATTATTGTTTATTAAAAATTCAACATATACATCTTATTATATATTATTTTCTTAGTAATTTCTGAAAAATTAAGCTATATATGTATATCAACAGAAGAAAATGGCTGCCGTTGAAAAGCGTTTTACTCGAAATGTAGTTTTCAAAATCGGCGCCAGAAATGTTTAAAAGACTACTGAACCAATTTTGATCGAACTTTGCGGTAATATTCTTAAGACTAGAATCTAGTATTTGGCGAAGCGAAATTTTGATTCGTGCATATTTTCTTTTTTTTTGTAGCAAAGGAAATCGAAAATTTATGTCAAAAACTACAAGTTTAAGTTCATACAGCCACCATCTTGTAAAATACTGATATTTTCAAAATCGACTTTCATAAGTACTAGTTCCTTTTGCCTACTTTAATATAAAATTTAAAAAAAAAATTTGTATTCGGTAAAAGCCCACAAAAATATATCTGATACCGCAGGTGGTGTTTCGATGAAACGGGTTATAATTAAACAGCAGCCATTTTCTTCCGTTGATAGATATATAGGTCAATTTTTCAGAAATTACTAAGGAAGTAACATATTATAAGATGTATATGTTGAATTTTTAATAAACAATAATTTTGCATATACAAAAAAATGTTTTAATTTTTACTTTTATTTAACAGCTCAAAGGTATGTAACCCCTTAATTTCCTGGAGAACCATGATTATTAATTTAATTATACTCCCTTTTTATCGTAGACAGTAAGATTTTAGTTTTGTGTTAAAGAAATTTAAAAAGGAAAAGATAGGAAAAAATTCATAGCATTTTCTTACTTAGCTCTTATAGCGAAGAATGATCTAAAAATGTGACATAAGGGTAAAACGATCGGAAAACTGAAAAGGAAACGGAGAAGGATCGATTACGATCGATTGACCACGCGGCGGAGATCAAATTGGATCGTGTGAAAAGGATGATCGATCGTGTGTTTCACGTGATTGCTGATCTATCGATCGAACACTGATCAACACGGCTCAAGGCTATCGAATGCCAAGAACAGGGATATCGATCTATTATCCCGTGAACCTTTTCTTATTTTTCCGTTTAATGGTTCTCAACTCTATGATCGATATTATATTTCGAACAAATCCTAGATGCAACGATTGTTTATGCACCATTCGAATCTAAAGCTGCCAAATTTATTAAAAAAAAAAAAATAGAATCACAAGGGGCAAGATGTTGCTTCAAAATTAAATTAATCGATCAATAAACAATCTCCTGTTTAGGGCTGAATTTATCATTTGCTTTGAAAAATAAACCAAACACCTCACGTCCTATCAAGAATATGGCTATGGATAATAAAATAACAATAATATCCTCTAAGAAATTAGAATCTATACGTTATCTGGTATGGAATTTGTTCAGTCGTAACTTTATGTTATTCATAAATGTTGAATGTCTGAACAGAAAATTAACTGAAAAATAGTCGACAATAAATTTTTAGTAAATTGAAATTCTGCATACACTCAAAAATTTTCCCTCTATTTAACAGCTAAAAGATATGTAATCCCTTAAATCTTAAATCATGGGATCATTGTACTCTTTTAAACAATATTCTTCTAGCTATGGTTAATAAAATAACAATAACATCCTCCAAGAAATTACAATCTATACGTTATCTGGAATGGAATTTGTTCAGTCGTAACTTTATGTTATTCACAAATGTTGAATGTCTCAACAGAAAATTTAATTAACTGAAACAATATTAGATGTTATAAAAAAAAAAATTTTTAATATTTTTCCAGCTCCTGGAAGATGCTGTCGCGTTTGTTCGTGCTGTTCTTCTTCTTGGCCGTTTCCTCGGCGGAGCAACGGCCATCCGAGAATGTCGACGAGAAATGCATAGAGGATCATCCAATACTGATCCATTTCTTCTCGTGGGCGGACTACGTGGTGTTCGCCGGGATGCTGATCATTTCGAGCCTGATCGGCACCTTCTACGGTTTCTTCTCGAAGAAACAGGAGACCAGCGAGGACTTTCTTCTCGGCGGTTCGAGCATGGGGACATTTCCCATGGCTATGTCCCTGGCCGCCAGTTTCATCACCGCCATAGAACTTCTTGGAAATCCTGCGGAAATGTATTCACAGGTACGTGACGTCACGTGGTCAAAATTAATCCGAAAGAAGAATTTTGGAAAGAAGAAATACAGTGATCCCTCGATGAATGCGACGGTTGAAAATACGGTCAATTTTGAAGTGTCCTTAGTTTTGAAAATTTGTCCATCAAGAGGACAAATAGGACTATGCAGTAAATACTCGATAAGTGTTCGAAGGTTCCTCGATAAGCATAGCTACCCAGGTGTAACGATAACTCGTATAATGAGGTTTAGCATAGTCATAGATCTTGGAATTTTGAAGATTTTGAAGGCATTGTTCTATGCATTAGTTTATGAAATGTTTCATGTTAGTGACAAGGAGTCTTCGAACACTTATCGAGGATTTACTGCATGTCTGCTGTTCTTCCTCGAGGAATCTTAATATTTGTCTTCCTATTTGGGATGAGAAGATGATCAGCCTTTGTCTCTTATTCGTTCGATTGAATAAGGTGTCTAGTATTAACATTTTTGTTATAATTAAAGGGAACACAGTTCTGGATGACCTGTCTGGCGTTCCTGCTGGTCGTACCGATTACCTCGCACCTGTACCTGCCGGTTTACATGAAACTACGGTTGACCTCCAGCTACGAGTATCTGAACCTCCGGTTCGATCGTCATTGTAGACTGCTCGCGAGCGGATTGTACATGATGCAGATGATCCTGTACACGTCCGTCGCAGTGTACGCACCTGCGTTAGCTTTAAGTCACGGTACGCTTGATTTCTACACCTCTAAGTCCCTAAATCTCAATCTATCTTCACTAAATCCTCTCTTTTTGCAGTCACTGGTCTGAATACTTATATAGCTGTAACTCTAGTCTACGTAGTCTGTATCTTCTATGCCTCACAGGTTGGTAGTCCCTTTATATACAGTCTGTCCCAAAAAGATTGGACAATTGGCAATATGCATATTCCTCGTGCAAATACACATCGAAAAGTCCTTTACCGTTTTGTAATCCGAAGCTCCGTTTCCGAGATATTAGCTGTTAAACGAACTCCAATCAGCTGAGCGGTGGGCGGGTTCGCGTGTCCCACCGCTCAGCTGATTGGAGTTCGTTTAACAGCTGATATCTCGGAAACGGAGCTTCGGATTACAAAACGGTAAAGGACTTTTCGGTTTGTATTTGCACGAGGAATACGCATGTTGTAGAATGTCTTGTTTGGGATAGCATGTAGAAGACACAGGTCCAGAATCTTTGGTTAACCTAATCTCCTTCTCAGGGTGGAATGAAAGCCGTCATAATGACGGACACTTTCCAAGTAGCGGTTCTACTTGGCTCTCTGTTCCTCATCGCTGGCTACGGTTTAGCCTGGGAGGGCGGTATCGCCTCGGTCTGGGACGTCAACCAGAAATCAGGGCGAATGGAGTTCTTCAACATGGACGTCAGGCCCACCGTCAGGCACAGCTTCTGGAGCGTGGTGATTGGTGGGACTGTTTATTGGACCACTATGTTCTGCAGCAATCAGGCTTCCGTCCAAAAGTACCTCAGCGTGGAGACCATTGGTCAAGTGAGAACGTGAGTACCTGCTTCTCACGAGAATCCTCCTTTTAACTTTTTGTGTCTCGATTGATATCGTCATTTTTATCTTCTAGGGCGTTGTGGGTGTCTGCCTTCGGCATGATCATCATCTACACCGTGAACTTCTTGACAGGTATGGTTCTCTACAGCACTTACAGAGACTGTGATCCTTTGTTGGCTGGCCACATCACTGGCCAGGACCAACTCCTCCCACTGTATGTAATGAACTTCATGGGTAGCCTACAGGGTATGCCTGGTTTCTTCGTCGCTGGAATCTTTGCTGCCTCTTTAGGGTAGGTTCTGGAAGTCCTAGAACCTTTCACTACTGGGTCTGAAGCAGATATGAGCAAAAAGTCTTTCGTAAAATCTTGCCTATGTCTGCTCTCGATACCCTAACTGATCACATGTGTTAACAATTGGAACCTTTGGCTACTGGGTCTAAAGCAAATATGGGCTAGAAGCCTTTCATGAAGTCTTGCTCATGCCTAGTCTTGACACCCTAGCTGATCGAATAAGTCAACAATTGTAACTTAAGAATTTCTCAGGTCATTGTGACATTTTTTTCTAGGACTGTAGCTAGTGCCCTGAATTCTCTGGCAGCCATTACCTGCGAGGACATCCTTCAGGGATTATTAAAGATAAACTTGCCAGCCAGTAAAGGCGCTATCTACGCCAGGTGGATCAGCATCTTCTTCGGTGCCTTTAGCTTCGCCTTGGTCTTCCTCGTGGAACGTCTTGGAAGTGTTCTTGAGGTAATCTTCTCTTCCTCTTCAATCTGATCCCTCTTTTTCTTTTCATCCAAGTCCTCTATTAACTGTGATAGCTCTTGACATATAGGTCCAGTTTTGAGACACCTGTTAACACATCCTCGATGTTGGACATCCACTGAATACTCATTGCCAATCGATATTTCAGGTTGCATTATCGTTTAACGGGATGGTCGGAGGTATCACCCTGGGATTATTCTCTCTAGGCATGTTCGTGCCATGGGCAAACGCGAAAGGAGCAATTACAGGAGCCATTACCAGTCTGATAATCGTTCTATGGATCGGACTCGGAGCTCAAGTTGCTATTCTCAATGGCCACCTCCACTTGGACAGCAGGCCCGTGTCGATCGATGCTTGTCCTTGCATCATAAACACGACTGCTATTATCGAGAGCCATTCAACCGATGATAGCGACGATGTCGCTTCGATCTATAAGGTATAGCCTCCATTCCACACGATCTAAATAATCCTCCAAATAGGACCACTCCTCTATCTAATCGTCTTGTCAGGTCGCTATGACTTGGACTGATCGGTACGGATTTTTGCTCAAATTGAAATATGTTATACTTTATGTGAAAATAGGGTGGGGTTAAGTCATCATTTTGCTGGTTTCGAAATTGTTTAGAAAATACAGACCCTCGAAATTGGCAAATTTTCACCAATTTTTACGAAAACTACCATCACAGAAGAATTTTTATCTCCGTAAGTATTAAAGATACGAAATTGATTCTTTCTTCATTTTGATCGTAAAGGATCGTTCTTTGTAAGTAATTTTTTGTTTTGTACGTAGTTATTTTTGCAATGCAAAATATTAAAAATACTTTTATTTTCGAAATTTGATCCCTCGGTCCTCAAATTAAAAATTTGAAAAAAAATACGTTCGTATTCTGTAATCTTTTCTCTTTAAAATTCATTTGTTTTATTCGAAGTCACTCTAATATTGTAGTCGCAGCAGCCTGATAAATGTCGCGGCACGCTTATTTGAAACGGAGGTACACCACTCACTTCTACCGCTCTTTATGAGGCCAACTTTAACTGCTCTATCTTTCTGAAGAGCTCATTTTGTAGGCAAAATTTCAAGGAATATAACCATATTTTTTCATAATTTAAACACCCCCCACCCATCATAGAGAAAATCGCGAAAAAAGAATTTGTTTAGAACTTTCAATATTAAAAAATCAATTTTTCATATAACAAAAAATAATTATAGTAGGACAACTCTTCCAGATTAAAATACTCGAGGAACGAAGTCGATACGATAAATAGTTTCCAAGATATAAATTTGTAAATACATCGGGGTTTCATGAAAATACTGAAAATAGTCAAAAATCGTAAACTTCAGCAGCCTGTATTTTTTAAACAAATTCAGGAACGGAAAACTGATGACTTAAACCCCCCCTAATTTTACGTGGACCACAACATATTTCATTTTGAACAAAATGGAGTGCAAGATTTTGCATGGAATGACCCCAATCATTGTCACAGTAAATCCTCCAAATGGTAAGACCTTTGTCGTTCCGTTTGCAGATCAGCTACCTGTGGTACAGCGCGATTGGGTGCATCCTGACTGTGTTAGTGGGCGTGGTGGTCAGCTATGTGACAGGTTTCCAGGACCCGGCTGATCTCGACCATGATCTCCTGAGCCCTCCAATCGCCTCTCTGTTCTGTATGCAGACGAAGCCGCGCGCCAATAACGTTCAAGGGATCACGAACTTCGGTCTGGAGCTCGACGACGAGAAATCCCAGGTGGAGACCAACAAAAACGTAAAGTGAAGGGGACACAGGCTGCCCTGTACAACTAGGAACACAGTATTTCAGAGGACAGAGAGACCCTGATAAGTCTTATTCTTCTTCGATCTTCCTAGGAAAGAAGAAATCGTATTTATTTCTCTGTTCTTGATGATTCGATCGTTCAAGGTTGTCCCGCGATTAGACTTCGAATATCGTCCAGACTGCATTAAACAACATTATACTTTAGTCTGTTGATGAACATGAGTTTTTAAAGGGCTTAAAAAACATTAAGATTCTGGAAATAATGAATAAAGTAAAACTAGTGTTTCGAAGACATACATATTTAAATAAAATGAAAATCAAGTTTCTCCATGTATCAATGTCTAAGTCTTCGGGAAGAACGAAGTCAGCTTAGAGAACGAACCAAAGCAATTCCATTCGAAGAGGTTCTTTAAGAGGTTAGATACCTTTGACCTGTTAAATAAGAAGGAAAATTAAAATAATTTTTGTATATGCAGAATTATTGTTCATTAAAAATTCAACATATACATCTTATTATATGTTGTTTTCTTAGTAATTTCTGAAAGAGTGAGCTATTTATCTATCAACAGAAGAAAATGGCTGCCATTTAATTAAAACCCGTTTCATCGCAACACCATCTGTGGTACCAAATATGTCTCTGTGGGCTTTTAACTGAAACAAGTGTTTTTTAAATTTTATATTAAAGTAGATAAAATGAACTAGTACTTATCGAAGCCGATTTTGAAAATATCAATATTTCACAAAATGGCGGCTGTTTGAACTTAAACTTGTAGTTCTCAATATACATTCTCAACTTCTGTTGTTACTAAAAAAAAAATGCACGAATCGAAAATTCGCTTCAAGTAGATTCTAGTCTCAAGAATATTACCACAATGTTCGATCCACATTGGTTCAGTAGTCTTTTAAATACATCTGGTGCCATTTTGAAACCTGTATTGCGAGTGAAACGCTGTTAAATGGCAGCCATTTTTTTTTGTTGATAGATATACAGCTCAATTTTTCAGAAATTACTAAGGAAATACTATATAATAAACCCAGATAACACATAAGGCCTTGAGGACGCCCATTTTAGGTCTGAGGCGCCTGTAAGCCATCATTAAGCCGTCTGTGTGCTATCTGGGATATGTGTATATTGAATGTTTCCTAGACAATAATTCTGAATATATAAAACAATTGTTTAATATTCCCTCTTATTTAACAGCTCGAAGGTATCTAACCCCTTAAGGATCCTCCTTTTGAATGGAGCACTCCTAACTCTAACTACTATAACTAGAAATGAATACGATTGATCCTTTAGAGGCAACTACTGACAGAAATTAATTTTGCCAATATCGAGAGGGACTGTTTAGACTTGATAGATACTCAAAGAAGACTCCTTGCCAAAGGACTCGCGTAGGATAGTTTATTTATGGCGTCAGTTTGTTACCGTACTTACATTTAATTCGAACCATTCCTAAATAATTAGAACAAGTAAATAAAACTCTAGTACCAGTACTGTGTATTTGCATCGAAAGATTCTTATTTAATCTCCAGATAGCACATGACGCCTTGGAAACGTCCATTTTACGTCTCTTTTACGTCTAAGACGCCTTTAAGCCGTCTTCAAGACGTCATTAGGCGTCGTGTCCTATCTGGGTCCATATCTAGATATCAATGTATATTTTTCTTTATTTTAAGAGGTAAATAATTTTTTTTGTTTTACATGTATCGTTTAGAATTCCGTTTTTTTTTTGTAAAACAAATTTTTAAATAATTTTTTTCAACCGGAATTATTGCCCCGTGTTCCTGATGGGAATCGTTGCACCTTTTATACCATGTAGATGGAGATCACTCGATTGACTTGACTGCGGATTGTGTACTTCGTTTAACGTTTTCTGTAATCTTAATGCGGCCGATGAGAGGAACAGTGTCAGCGCGATTTCACGCGCATAGATACTTAATTCGCTGCGCTCGTTTTACCGTTCGGATGTACTTTATCGTAAGATACTTCATTTCTAGGAACACACTTTTGTGAGTATTTGTACATACGAGGAAAAAAAAAATATATATATATATATAAGATTATTAACTTAAGTATATACGTCTATTTTATTTCTTCCCATATATCTTCCCTTAATAGCAGAAACAAACCCAAATAGCACATGACGCCTTGAAGACGACTTAAAGGCGCCTTAGATATAAAATAGCCGTAAAATGGACGTTTTCAAGGCGTCTAAAAAAGAAACTATGTACATTTACTTTATTTCATCCCATATATTTTCCCGCCAAAAAATATTTTTTAAGCATTTATTTTGCAATTGTTTTTAAGGAATCCAATTTTATAATAGTAAGACCCAATTGAAAAATGTGAAAAAAATGAGGTGTGATTCGACGCAGCGTTAACTTCAATTAATTTTCGTATGGCCAATTTTAAAATGTCCATATTTTTGAAAATTTGCCCACAAAGAGGACAATTAAGACTATATCCTCAAATTTTTAAAAATTTTTCAATTGGACTTATTATTATAAAATTGCGTTTCTTTAAGACAATTGCAAAATAAATAAGTTAAAGACTATTTTTTCTAACTGAAATAATTTTTATTAGATATTCTCATGTCTCCACTGTAAGCACCCACAAAGCTCATTTCGATCAGTTTGTCAGTTCAACAGTTACGCTTTATTGAAAGAAGATCAATACTATAAAATTTCAAACGGTGGTAGAATCAACATTTATCAAAATTTTCAAAAATCCCTCGAGATACATCTATAAATCACTAAAGACTACAGCATATCCAAGTGTCAAACAAAATCCGAAATGTTTAAAAAGTGTCCGATTTCACGTAGAACGACCCCTTCTTAATTTGTTTTAAGTCCATCTGTCATCTATCCATAATCTGTCACACTTAAAGGATTGCCAGTCAGAAAAAGTGTATCAAGACACTACTGGAGAACCACAAAGCCTCAAGAAAACAGGCTACCTAACTCTAGTTCCGAGTGACAAACCGAATCCCCCTGTAGTGAGAAAGAGAGTGGTCATAGACAGAATCGAGAGTGGAACGAGGAGCATCGGAGAGCGCCGAGCGTGGGAGAGGGACAGTTGCGCAGAGAGAAAGGCCACGACAGTGAAAGTGGATCAATACGCCGTTAACGTTTCGCCAGGCAACGTGCGAACGGTTGCCTTTCCACCAATCCCGCTTGCTTCCTATCGAAGGAAAGGCCAGTCGCGATCCTAGACGAGGTCCAGCAGCGTTGATCCACGTCGATTTCTCAGTTTTCTCGTCTGTGTCATCAATGTCTAGCCTTTTCACAGCGAAACAGACCCACAGATGTTCAGACTTCAGTCGCAGAAAGGGACTGATCACCCGAAGCTGTGGGTAGCTAAGTGTGATAATCAATGGACTTGCAGCATCATCAGTGACAAAGTGATGGACAGTGTGATTCGTGTACGATAGTGACAATGGGATTGCTTGAACTGGTCTGTAGGGATTTCTTTGAAGTGCTGGGGTGTCGATAGTGAACGAATAATCTGAATGGAGGGAAGAGAAGTGGAGTTTGGGTCTGTTGACTGATATGGGCACATCTGTACATCTTTGAGAACCGAATCGTAGACTGGACGAAATGTACCTTTCTTATTTTGTGAGTAGCTATCTAGTAGCTGTCTGAATCTGATTTGGAATACAGACTCCTCTCGATTATCGTCTGGCTTGTCCTACACGATTATTGTCCAGGCGTTATCCCCACCACTTGGAGGGGAGGGGTGTGGAACTTGTAAAGCACATATTTTGGTGTCCCTCTGTTTTTGTTCCCAAGATTTTTGTCCTCCCTACAAGATTATTGTCCAGGAACGGGCCCCAGTTCGGGACAATAATCGAGAGGAGCCTGTATAGGGTGAATTTCTTTTAGTATTTATATCGGTATTCCCGAAACCCTTTATAGTCCCATGTTTGTAACCCAGGATCCTCTTTCTCAGATGCACAAAATCACCTGCAACTCTAATCTACGTTGCTTCCGGTTCCTCCGTTGGACCATCCTGACACCTCTGGTCCTCTATTTGACGCTTCTCTTCATCAAGTACAACAAGAACGTGCCCCTGAAAAGATTGCCCGCCTCGTCGACCGAGACAGACAGCGAGGGCTCAGTGATAGAGAATCTGTTCGTCGAGCTAGAAGCAGTGACAGCTAGTCAAGGGGTCGACGAGCGTTACAGGAGCGCGGGACTGAATCGAAGGGTCGAGGAGAATATAAGGGAGGTGGAAGAGGCGGAGAACCGGGAGAATCCGAGAACCCTGCTCGAGGATATATTTCAAAGGGCCGACACTGATCAGGATCAGTTGCTGGATATCCAAGAACTGGCCAAGTGGATTTACATCAAGATCACCGAGCACGTCAGCCGTGCTATGAGCGAGAATGTTGGCTTGTTCACTGCTATTGACAACAATCCACGAAATGGTAAGTTCTGTCGGTCGAAAAATTGGGGTTAGCGAATCTGATCTTGAGTCAAGGTAGATACCCTAAATCAAGTTAGATACCCTAGGACAACTTAGATATCTTAGATAGTTCAAGGTAGATACCCTAAGACAACTTAGATGTCTTAGATAGTTCAAGGTAGATACCCTAAATCAAGTTAAATACCTTAGGACAACTTAGATGTCTTAGATAGTTCAAGTTAGATATCCTAAATCAAGTTAGATACCCTAAGACAACTTAGATGTCTTAGATAGTTCAAGGTAGATACCCTAAATCAAGTTAGATACCCTAAGACAACTTAGATGTCTTAGATAGTTCAAGGTAGATACCCTAAATCAAGTTAGATACCCTAGGACAACTTAGACGTCTTAGATAGTTCAAGGTAGATACCCTAAGACAACTTAGATGTCTTAGATAGTTCAAGGTGGATACCCTAAATCAAGTTAGATACCCTAGGACAACTTAGATGTCTTAGATAGTTCAAGGTAGATACCCTAAATCAAGTTAGATACCCTAGGACAACTTAGATGTCTTAGATAGTTCAAGGTAGATACCCTAAATCAACTTAGATACCCTAGGATAACTTAGATGTCTTAGGTAGTTCAAGGTAGATACCCCAAATCAAGTTAGATAACCTAGGACAACTTAGATGTCTTAGATAGTTCAAGGTAGATACCCTAAATCAAGTTAGATACCCTAAGACAACTTAGATGTCTTAGATAGTTCAAGGTAGATACCCTAAATCAAGTTAGATACCCTAGGACAACTTAGATGTCTTAGATAGTTCAAGGTAGATATCTTAGGACAACTTAGATATCTTGGATAGTTCAAAGTAGATACTCTAAATCAAGTTAGATACCCTAGGACAACTTAGACGTCTTAGATAGTTCAAGGTAGATACCCTAAGATAACTTAGATGTCTTAGATAGTTCAAGGTAGATACCCTAAATCAAGTTAAATACCTTAGGACAACTTAGATGTCTTAGATAGTTCAAGGTGGATACCCTAAATCAAGTTAGATACTCTAGGACAACTTAGATGTCTTAGATGGTTCAAGGTAGATACCCTAAATCAAGTTAAATACCTTAGGACAACTTAGATGTCTTAGATAGTTCAAGGTGGATACCCTAAATCAAGTTAGATACCCTAGGACAACTTAGATGTCTTAGATAGTTCAAGATAGATACCCCAGATATGGGTCAGATACCCTAGGATAAGGTTAGGAACCCTACTTTAAGTTATGTACCCTAGTTCAAGTTATGTACACTGGGCCAAGTTAGGAACCCTAGGTACAATTAGTTCGCCTACTATGAAATGAAATTCAAGAGAATAATAATTAGGTACCCTGGATCAAGTTTAGATGTCCTACGCCAAGTTAGATACCCTAGGTTTGGGTTAAATACCCTAGATCTGGGCGAGGTACGCTAATTCAAGTTAGGTGTTATAGGTTAAGTCAGATGTTCTATGTCAAGTTAAATGCCCTAGGTGAAGTTAGGTGCCCTACGTTAGGTTAGTTCCCCTGCCACGAAATGAAATCCAAGTGAACAATCATCTAAGTACACCAAAGACTATAGCATGCTTTCCTCGAGTCTATTAGTCTCCAACTATTCACACGAATGAATCATCCAGGACTAGTATGAATCAGTCGGCTCGGTAGCATCCTTACAAATCTACATTTGGAATTAATGTGGTAGCTGCTAATTGCCAGGTCATTAGGGAATTATTGTTACTCAAGACCTACTTTAGATGGCTTCAATTGGATGTAAGAGCAAGTATTTCGTTGAATGCTACAGGTAAGGTGTCGTGGGAAGAGTACCACGCTTACTTTCTCAGGATTCACGGATTTCCAGAGAGCTACATCAGCTCACACGACAAGAAGCACAGCGATATGTCGCGGACGCTTAAGGAGAGCATCATGAGAGACAGAGCCAGATGGGCGGAAGCGGCTAGAAACGATCCGGAAAGACTTGCTCTCGACGAGTTTCTGGCTTTCACTCACCCTGAAAGCAGCCACAGAGCTCTGCTACAAATGGTGGAGGATTTGTTTGAAAAATTCGGTGAGAATTACTATAAACTAGTATAAACCATCTCCCTTCTACAATATGGTACATTATGAATAGTGGAAAATTATTTAAAATTATTAAATAAGTAACTAAAGGGGACGAAAGAAAAACATAAATTTCCAAGGGTCGTTTCAGTTACAAGCCCCTCTATTACGTAGTAGGGTCCCAAAGTTCTTGGCTTGAAAAATAAAAATTATTTTTCAATTAGTATTATTTTTGAATATAGTCCCCCTTTATTGAAATACATTTGATAACTTTTTTAACGATTTTTAACAGCAGTATAGTTTTTGAATTAAGTTGGCATAATATTCTGCGTTTACCGTCGTATTTTTCTTTTTGAAATCGATCAGCGATATGCCATCGCGATTCCAAAATATTTTTTGGATAATTTTTAAATAATTCTACATTCCAATGACTTTTGAATTTCCATTAACGTACTACCTTCTTTTGTCGAGAATTTTTCAACAAATTCGCTGCATTCACAAACAAAAGATTGAACGCGTAAGAATGAAGCGTATCCTCACTATTCATATTTCTGAGAACTTTTGGACCTTATTATGTATTTTGACATTATTTTATAAGATTAGATTTTCCCCCGTTTTTCCCAATTTCCTTTTCCCCTCAGACCGCGATGGAGACGAACAGCTGACAGAGGACGAATTCTCGGATTTGCCAGCCGACCGAGTGGGTCTGGATTTAAGGGAAGACAGACACGAGACCGTGGGTGGAAGCGAAGACAGGCGACAGGAGTTCAGGCATCTTATAGACAAGAATAAAAATGGGAAAGCGGATAGAACGGAACTTTTGGTAAGGAAATATGTGCTGCAAAAGAATTGTGTGAATTTAAGCTGTAAAAGAACTTGTATTTAAACTAGAGAAGAAAAATAATTTTAAGTTTCACAATGTGGACCAAGAAATTAATATAGTCTATAAATGTGAGGAAATTAAATTAAATGGTCCTCGTGGAATAATGAAGTTGTTATTTGTTAATTTGTGAAAATAGAAATTTGTTTTTATACAGATGTACATAGATCCAAGGCATCCGAGGCATGCTATACAAGAAGCTCAACACTTGATAAGCCTGTCCGATACAAATCAGGATGGAAAGCTGAATCTTTCAGAGATTCTGAGCAAAATGGAACTGTTCCTGGGCAGCAAAATGGTGGACACTGCAGGAAGTTTCCACGATGAGTTTTAATACTATTAAAATAGTTAATTGACGTGAAGAGGAAACAGCAAGAGATATGTAATTAAGGATAGAAGTCTAAGAACAAAAATTTCTATCAAACTTTGATATCGTTACTAAAAGAGACAATATTCATTAGCAATAGTTAGTGACACTAATCGATCTCTATTGAGATTATTCTTAAAAAAATCTTTGTTTTTTAAAAGATCCCTTGTGAAACTGTGTAGTCAAGAAAATTATTTTTGGATGGAATGATCACTTTTCTACTTTTTCTATTCTGCTCGGTAGAAATTCTATTTTTCTGCAACACGACTTTTTTTTGCCTTTCTCTGAGATACTTTTCACTGATAGTGTAATGTATTTATTGATTCGACTGAGTGTGAGGAATTGAGCAAGGTTCTTATGGTACTTGAGGAAGAAATACGAAGACTTCATTTGAACTTAAACAGCTATTGTTATTGATGAAAGAGTAACGTAAACGTCACAGTATTTAATGTGAATTACCAGTGATTATACTTTCATTTTGGTTTTTTTGGTAAAAATTGTCGGCAGAATTTATAAATTACGTTTAACACTTTGAAGACTTTTAAAATACATCTGTGATAGCTTTCTGACGTAGAATATTATTTCTTTATATGCAATGATTAACAAAATACTAGTACCTTATCTCATACGTTCAACTTTTTGCAACCTATTCAATGCTTAAATTATTGAAATATTTTACATTTCAAATTGAAAAATTATTTATGCGGTGAAGAAACGTACAATGTATGTTTTAATTATAAATTAAAGATAAATTTATACATTTATAATTAATAATTAATATACATTCTTATTATAATGATTAATTGAAATTTTAATGAAACATATTAATTATCAATTTATACATTTATAATCAATAACAATTATACATTCATATATTATACTAGTAATGATTAATTGAAATTTTAATTAAGCATATCAATTACAAATTTTAATTATACATGTATAAATCTATTTTTTCATTGAGAAGTATAATTTTTTACTTCATTAGACATATGAAAATTTAATTTTTACTATACCATTATGTAAATAATATTTAAGATCACGAGCAGTCATCTGCAAACATCTTAAATGACAACTGAAAAATTCATGGGGAATTGTATCCCTTTATGGATATCTAGACTGAAATTATTTTATTAACCAAAATTTTTACGAAATAACTGAATTTTTATATTTTCAATATTCTTTCAATATTAGAAGGAAAGGGGAGTAATCATATACTCGAATCCGTCCTTTCATTGAGTTCACATAGTTATTTCTCACCAATTACACTCCATCAAATCTTACCAGTGTTAAAAAAACAATAAGTACAAATTTCGTTCGAGTGCTATTATAATAGAATTTAGTTTAAGTACATATACCAATATATTTTGTAAACATTACCGTATATGTTGATTAAAATTTATCAAAATGTTCATTACAGTTCATTTTAAAGATATTTGTACGTTTTGTGACACTTTTGTAATATTAACCGTCGCAAATAAAAATCCTTTCCTAGTCTAGTAAAATTATTTTTCTAATATATACAATTCTTTTAAATACTTCCAGTAGATGTTCATTTCACGTCCCATTTAGTTCAATTGTTAACCCTTTCAGACCTGGTGATCACATTTGTGTGTTGCAGATCCATACTTTTCTTATAAATATGAATTTTTTGATGTTCTGAATGTTTTTAGTAGATCTAGTGAATTCAGAATTGAATAACAAATCTGAAAGGTAAAGTAATTAAACCTGAAAGGTACAAAAATTGAACCTGAAAGCAGTACAATTTTCCGCATGTCTGCTTCAGTTTCAAGTTACAATACATTAATAATTGTTATAAAGTGCTGCGTGTGTTTCTTTCCTCATTTGTGCTCTGTTAGGTGTCATGCAATACTTGTGTCAAAAAAAGTTTTTAAGCAAAATATCATCTATTTAAACCTAAACCGTCGACTGAGTTAAAATGTGTAATAAAATATTTTGTTTTACCCTTAAAAGAAAATTCAGGTCTGAAAGGGTTAAGAGAAACAAAGTTGTCAATGAATGGGTGTAACAGCCGCGGGGTCGTTGTCACGATTGTTTATTTACATCTTAAAAAAACGCACAGCTACAATCACTTAAGCAATAACGCGTCTGCTAATTGGCTAACCTTAAGACTAATTACCCTGCGCTCTTGACAAAGCTCACAAATAGACGACGTTACAGTACTCGATAATTGTAAATTCAGTCCAAGCTTTTCAAATTGCCATTCCCACACTGAAAACGAACATATTTTTCCAGGGTTTTGTTTAGGAAGAAAACGTTCGAATCTTGTAACAAATTTTTTGTACATTTAGATTTCAATGGTTCCTTCTTTTTTCCTCATAAGAAAAGTTTTCGAAGAAATGTGCAAATTTTACTCTTTCCCTTTCCAATGTAAAAAAATCACTTAATAAAGTGTTTTTACCGGGCACACGAAATTCGAACAATTTTTTTGCGACTGTCTTCGAATGTCTATCCATTACAAACTTGTTACAATATCTGACAACAACGTGATAAGCACTGATTACAGAGACTCGTGAAAGCATATAAACAGCAATTGCACACACTCACTTAAGTTATGAACAAGTTGCCTTCTATCAGATAAAAAAATTATGAGTCGGTGTGAGGAAAGCTCGCACTCCTTGCATACGAATACACAATTTTCATCTGCTTTTTTTTCTCATTAACTAGTTTACAATAAATCCCAGATAACCATTTGCGTGCAGATTGGCAGCAGATTGGTAGCAGATAGTGACGACATCTGTCTACAAATCCGTAGCCATCTATTTCCCCATTTGGCTTGGGTTTTGCAAACAAAAACGTACTGACAGATTCGTGAAGCAGATTGGCGGCAGACCCAGGCTAACCAACCTAAGTCAATTTATAAACTGAGTTATGTTGCAAGATCTGTCGTCAATCTGGGCGCTAATTGTTCATAGCACATCCTGCATCAAATCTGTAGCCATTCTGGTTACAGAAGCTTATAACAAGCGTTTGACAAACTTCCCTATACTCTCAGTAGTTAAGTATCCAACGAAAGTTTTGTCGTACAAAAGGGCCAATTATAATAATGAAGCTTAAATTACTGTTACATTTTAAAAAAAATATTGCGACCACTTTGCAGACTTTCAGACACTTCAAACAATTCCAAACCAGTCCAAACTTCTCGAATAAATTAATTGTATATATGTAGAAGCCAATTGTTCGTTTGTTCTCAAGGACTTAAATGTCTTTCTGATTTTATTCTACGCCAGTACGACAAATTGACAGTGTGGAATTTGTATATTATCGTTGACTCTAGTGCACCAAAAACTGAACGAGAGTTTTAAGTATTTCGTCCTTCATCGTGGTCGAATCGTTTCAGTTTCGCCAGATAATCATCCCGTGGTCCAAGTTGAAGGCCAACAAAGTGTATCCTTCCTCAATTCGAGAACGATTCCCACTTTCCGTCGACTTTCCTGGAGGTCAAACAGTTTCGATTTGTTTCAGACCAGGAAAACTTTCGTACAGGACCAAATACGTACGAAATTCATAAGCGAAAAGTTCCAAGATAGTCTCCGTTCGTCATAAAAATTTATTTAACAAACGATTCGTTTGTAACAAAATGGAAATCTTGATATGCAAAATCGTCTAACCACAATACTATAGTTTCATCCTTCAAATCTTTGGCAAAAGCAGCTTAAAGTTTGAAACTCCCACTACCTCAGTTCAACTGGGAATTTTCATTCACAATATTTGGTCTTCGACAGACATCCTTAATTATATAAAACTTGACAATATCACCCATTCATCGATTCGTAAATCTTCATTCAGAACTCGCAGTCATATTAGTCTAGCCAACCGAAAACATCTCTTAAAAGTTCAGGTTTCATTTCAATAAACCTGGGTGAGGCTGTTACCACTTCAGTGGTTTTAGGGGTCATCCCAATTCGCAGATTGGTTGAGTCAAAAATGTGACAAGGAGTCCCAGTCATCCCAGACTGAAGGTAGATCATCAGTTGGATCAAGTGAAGTTGATTTCATCTCAGACAGAACGTACTTGGTTCTCAGACCTTCTGGCTGATGTCCTTTAGGTGATCCTCTTACCCCTAGAGAAGCTTTCAGGTTAGGCAGACGTGTGTCCTCAAGAAGTCGCCAAAGGGATTTAGAGATGCTACGTCAGACTGTTGTTCTGAAACGGGAAACAAGGATGATCTCTGCTGGCAATTGCGTCCCCACCAGGTGGAAAGCAGTTTCTTTGCGACAACAGACAATTCTTCTCGTAGTTCAGACAGAGAAGGCTGTACACTGACATTAAAAGGTACACAGAGGGGATCTTTCAGTAGAAGTTGGAATCTGTTTTAGCTTTGAAGAGAAATAGATTGGATAGATGTAGGAACAAGAGGTATATACACTGACTTAGAGCAGATACATTGGAGAATTAACATTGATACTTCTTCTGAAGTTTAAAGACAGGAGTTTGGAATATGTCTGAGGCCTAGGCCAATCGTTGGTGACGAGCGAAGCATTTTCTACCAGTTTAAGATCCAGGGTAGAGAAATACGGAAGCGTTTAGAAAGCACACACCAGAAAAGTACCACAACGTAGGAGGGATGCGATAGATCGTGGGGAAGTCTCTGAAAGGGTATAAGGATCCAATGGATTATAGGAAAATGTCTCCAAAGATATCCATGAACAATGAATCAGAGTCTAGAGTTAGATTGGAGCCTAGAATCCAATGAATTCTGAGAGTCCAAGGGAATACTAGAGGATCCATGGAATTCTGAGAGTCCAATGGACCTCAAAATGACGTCGGGAATCCGGATGACCAAAGGACTTTACAATGATCCAAGGTATTTTAAGTATCCAATAGATTCTAGAGTGATCCCTGGAATTCTGATTGTCGAATGAGTTTTGAAATGGTCCCGGGATTTTTCTGAGAGTCCAATGGCCTCTAGAAGGATCCAAGGAATTCTGAGAGTCCAAGGGAATACTGGAGGATCCATTGAATTCTGAGAGTCCAAAGCAATCCTGGAGGATCCACGGAATTCTGAGAGTCTAATGGTTCTCAAAATGACGCCAGGAATCCGGATGTCCAAAGGACTTTACAATGATCCAAGGTATTCTAAGTATCCAATAGATTCTAGAGTGATCCCTGGAATTCTGATTGTCGAATGAGTTTTGAAATGGTCCCGGAATTTTCCTGAGAGTCCAATGGCCTCTAAAACGATCCAAGGAATTCTGAGAGTCCAAGGGAATACTGGAGGATCCATTTGAATTCTGATAGTCCAAAGCAATCCTGGAGGATCCACGGAATTCTGAGAGTCCAATGAACCTCAAAATGACGTCAGGAATCCGGATGTCCAAACGACTTTACAATGATCTAAGGTATTCTAAGTATCCAATGGATTTTTGAGTGATCCCTGAATTCTGATTGTCGAATGAGTTTTGAAATGGTCCCGGGATTTTTCTGAGAGTCCAATGGCCTCTAAAACGATCCAAGGAATTCTGAGAGTCCAAGGGAATACTGGAGGATCAATGGAATTTTGAGAGTCCAATGGACCTCAAAATGACGTCAGGAATCCGGATGTCCAAAGGACTTTACAATGATCTAAGGTATTCTAAGTATCCGATTGATTTTAAAGTGATCCCTGGAATTCTGAATGTCGAATGAGTTTTGAAATGGTCCCGGAATTTTCCTGAGAGTCCAATGGTCTCTAAAACGATCCAAGGAATTCTGAGAGTCCAAGGGAATACTGAAGGATCCATTGAATTCTGAGAGTCCAAAGCAAGCCTGGAGGATCCACGGAATTCTGAGAGTCCAATGGTTCTCAAAATGACGTCAGGAATCGGGATGTCCAAAGGACTTTACAATGATCCAAGGTATTCTAAGTATCCAATAGATTCTAGAGTGATCCCTGGAATACTGAATGTCGAATGAGTTTTGAAATGGTCCCGGAATTTTCCTGAGAGTCTAATGGCCTCTAAAACGATCCAAGGAATTCTGAGAGTCCAAGGGAATACTGGAGGATCCATTGAATTCTGAGAGTCCAAAGCAATCCTGGAGGATCCACGGAATTCTGAGAGTCCAATGGAGTCCACAAGGATCCAAGGTTCGTTCTAAGGGTTGAATAGCTTCTGTGTGAATCGAAGGGGACCTCAGATTGGATTCGTAAGCTCTCCAGTTGGGTAGAAGCGTTGCAACAGCACATGCATGGCTCGCGCCTGTCTTTACCTATTGGTATGATTCTTGCGAGGAGGATCGACCGCCGATGCTGGCAATGATCTAAACGCGGATTGGCGAACTTTCCTCGATCGTTACTCACTCGGCAGGTCGGTCCGGCGGTGGAGTGTTTCCACCTCGACAGCACAGTCTTATCCAGCCGCTGGATCTCATCTGCACCTCCTCCATCTCGATCACTGCACGTACCAACCAATCATTACATCCTCTTATCGGTCCTCGGATTCGTCTTCAGGGGCTAATTCGCGGCCACGACTCCACGCTTCTTTACGCAGTCAGGATCGGTTCCCCTTGGAATTCTTTTCAAAACTCCGACACATTTTTCACTTAAACCCTCAGGGTCTCGTGTATTTTGTTTTTCTGACTCTACGAACTCTAAAACCCAGGTCTCGTGTATTTTTTTTTTCTGACTCTACGATCTCTAAAACCCTCAGGGTCTCGTGTATTTTTTTTTTTTCTAAATCTACGATCTCGATCCTATTCAAGGGACAAAAGACTACGGCTTTTATCATTTTTGTGATTTTTGTTGTAATTACCGTTCTTGTTAGCTTTCGAATATTTTATGACCTTGTTTCAAAAATAATTTCTCGCGATGAATTCTACCCCCGTGAACTGGCCAGCGAACCGTGAAATAGACCTCGGTTCTGAGGTTACATTAAAATTCGAGGTAATTGGGAATCCAATGGGCAAAGATGCTTGAGAAAAATCCGTGGACAAGAAGTAACTCTATTTCTGAGACATGAAAAAATCTCTGCTAATTATAATATGACAGTGATTTAACGAGCGGAGCAGCTCGACGCTCCGAACCGATACGCCTGGACAATTTTTTCAATTTCTCTTCGAAAATTTAACCAAACCACAATTTATCTACGTGTTGTATCAAGTTATTGAAAAATTCTAGTTTTTTTGGAAATAATAATAAATGAGAAAATCTCTGCTAATTATAATATGACAGTGGTCTAACGATCGAAGCAATTCGACGCTGTAAACCGATACGTCTGGACAATTATTTCAATTTTTCTTTCAAAATTCAACCAAACCACAATTATCCACACGTTGTATCGAATTATTGAAAAATTCTTATATTTTTCCAAGTAACAATAAACATTTTTCAATTGTTACAACAATTATTTAAATGTCGTTCTATTGATACTGTTACGTTTGATAACATGATTATTAGCATAATTGCCTCCACAGTTTCTCCGCCAATTATCTGAGCACGTTCGAAACAGAACACAAACTTGACTGAAGCATCGCATCGCAAACTAACAATTCCGCACACGGTCGAGAAAGTCGATGTATCCGACTTGCATCGCTGCGCGTTTGACTCCATCAAGCTTTGCGAAAACCGACGAAAAATCCGTGGAATCTGCCTTAGACTTTCGACACGTCGATGCTCGCGTATTAGTATTTATTAATTAAAATTTATTACGCTTCAACGAGAAATTTAATACCGGATTAGGCGGTCATCGATTGGAAAGCCACTAATGAATTAATGCCGTGGCTAACAAGTTCAGAAACAGGGGATAGAAGAATTATATTGCTTGAAATCGCTCGTAAATTTGCTTTCGCGACGAAAAATATAGACAAAATAATTTATGTTCACGGCGTGTCGGAAATATATTTTCACGCCGCCCGATGAGGACTCGACCGACACGGGGAAACAATGTTCACAGCTCGTTAGGAATTTAATCAACGTGGGATTTATGAACTGAAAATTTTATAAATATTATTGGAAAGTACACGACCTACATTTAAATATATACAGTCACCTAACCTTGTTGTTTTGGATACTTTTTTTAATTTCTTTTCCAAAATTCAACCGCACCACAATTATCCACGTGTTGTATTAAATTATTGCAAAATTCTTATTTTTTCCAAGTAGTAATAAATATTTCTAAATTGTTATATATACATGTAATATTGTAGTAAATAAATACAAACGAAATAAATTGAATGCTCTCCACACTGACCTGATGCGACGCGTTGTATTAAATTATTGCAAAATTCTTATTTTTTCCAAGTAGTAATAAATATTTCTAAATTGTTATATATACATGTAATATTGTAGTAAATAAATACAAACGAAATAAATTGAATGCTCTCGACACTGACCTGATGCGACGCGTTGTATTGAATTATTGCAAAATTCTTATTTTTTCCAAGTGGTAATAAATATTTTTAAATTGTTATATATATATATATGTAATATTGTAGTAAATAAATACAAACGAAATAAATTGAATGCTCTCGACACTGACCTGATGCGACGCGTTGTATTGAATTATTGCAAAATTCTTATTTTTTCCAAGTGGTAATAAATATTTTTAAATTGTTATATATATATATATGTAATATTGTAGTAAATAAATACAAACGAAATAAATTGAATGCTCTCGACACTAACCTGATGCGACGCGTTGGGGGTGATAGCCGCTGAAGGTCGACTGTCTCCTCGCTTGCAGGTCGGTTCCTCTCAAGGAAAGGTACACAGAGATGGTTTTGTCCAGGGCCAGTCTCACCTGTGTGGAAAACACTTATCATCAAAATTACTTCACCGCCACTCAGCACGAAACACCGATCTAATAATCCAATCGATTAATTTTTGCAGCGTTAGGCAGAGATGGGCACAATTTTATTCGAATAATATACATATAGTGAGAAGCAGCAGTATCAAAGACCGTAATCCTGATCTTTAAACTGTTCATGAGATTAAATAATTGTTTGCAAAGTGTTTACTAACTTAAAAAGAAATATTATTTTATGATAAAAATTGGAATTACCACGTTCAATCGAGTGAAAATGACGAAATATATGTTTTTCATCTTTTATTCGTTACTCGAAACTTTTTATCTAGATAATGAATTTGCCAATCGCTGGCATTAGGGAACCGTCGGAACACCGTCGAACCGATCCATCGCGACAAACTGACACGACTGAACCGACGCACTATAGACAAATGTGGCCTGAGCATGACCCCTACTAATTATTTCCCCTCTACCTGTTTTTACACCTGCACAAGTGGTTTCATTGTATACATTCGCAGTTTCGGATTGCTGCTTTGTTTATTAGTAGACTGCAGATAGTTATACATTTGAAGATAAAGATTTTAATCAAATTTAGTGATATTTATATATTACTATCAACATAATAAGAAATTTAGCACAGGATCTAGATTTCTATCCGATTTAATCTTTATACATATATTAATACCTAAAATTCTGAATTTGCATAAACATTCGCAGTCTATTTATTAGATACTAAATAACGGTTTGAAGGTATTTTGAAATGTTTTTAATATTTCTTAGCGACAATTATCATTCGAATACTAGTGATTCTTTAAAGTGATTTATACGACATGTAATAATTGTGTATGTTCGTATAGATTAATTATTCTTCCAAACTATAATTTCATAAATATAATTTTCATTCGTTAATACTAGCAGAGAAATGATCAGAGTGGAATGTTATTTGATATCCACGGAGAAATTGAAACACTCCACTGTTAATATGTTCATCTGGCCTTGCGGTTTCGATGCTCTATAATGAGATCCAAGGTATCCCCATGTGTGTATTGTTTACTGGAGCAATGTTTCCCCATGCATAATGCATGATCGGTTTCTACTTAATGATTCCAGTCGGGCGTAAACACCGCGAGGTGTTAATCATATATCGAGAAAACAAGCAACGAAAGATCAAAGGTACTACTGGTTACACGGTTTTCAATTCCGTGCACAAGTTCAAATCTAACGCATTCAACGATGAGCCTGACATTTTATACAAAAACGAATTATTGTTTAAAAATTTAACTTGAAATATTATACGAAGACATAAATGTTACATACTAAATTATTTCCAAGTTTAACATTAAAACATGTAAAATATAGGAGAATGAAGAAGTGAAAGAAAATATTGAAAAATTTCAAAAAAATGGAATTGATTAGTTTGGTTTCTACGATGATAGGTGGAAGTATGGGTAATTTGGGCAACGCATTTTTTTTAACATCACGTTGTTGTCGATGGAAGGACGAATTCAGCGATCTCTAGCATAATGGTATCAAAACAAGATGCATTGACCTTGAAAACACTCAAGGTCACCTTAATATCTCCAAAAAAATGATATAAAAAAATGAAAATGCTATATAATTCATTGAAACGTTTTCAGATACAATCAATAAGTAACTAGTTATTTTAGGTAATAGTTCTTATTGACTCACTCTGTATATTGACAATAACATAATTATGATAACTTAAAACTAACAATAATTATAATAGTATGAATGTGGTATATGATTGTCTCACCTCTCCATTTAGGAAACAATAAAGGGTCGCAATGAAGAGGCCCTGAAAGGATTGCAGAAAGTGAGTGGAATAGGACCAAAGGGCGAACTTCTTCACGTTGTGCAGGGGTGCCTCGATCATGAACAACACGTTAGTGATGCCCAGCAAGGGTAGAAGCACGACAGCTGCCCTCACTGCTTTCCTGAAAAAGAAAATCAAGTGGAGTTAGAATAATTATTTATTTTACTTTTTTTTAAATTCACTTACAGAACTTGTTCGATTTCGCTGGTGTGACTTTGTTAGCAGGAACAGAAAATTGAGCTGGGGAAATAAAAACCAATATATAACGTCCCACGCTTCGTACATCATCGAACATTAATTTCCAAGTGACATTTGAAAAGAAAAATTCAGCTAGATTTTATTCCAACGAAATATTTACATTTGCATTTATTTGCAACAGATTGTACTGACAAATGCAAAGACATTTCGAAAATGAACGTGACACACTGTCCTAGGCGTTGCACGTGAAAAATCAAAACCTATCTAGGTTGCCTGTGATCATGCGGAGTTTTGAAAGTATCCTCACCAATATCACCGCGAACCTGGGTCCCTCGAGGATCCAGAAATAGGAAGACAAGTTGTACCCGGACCAGCATCTGGAAAATCTAATATTTGGCGTGGCGTGTGAAATGTTAGTACGAAAATAAAATAGAACTAACATTAAAACCAGGACCAGGATCAGGATTAGGACTGGGATTATGACTAGGACCAGGATTAGGACTAGTACTAGGAGTGAGACTAGGACCAGGCTTAGAACTAGTACTAGGACTAGGACTAGAATTAGAAATATGACTAAGACCAGGCTTAGGACTAGGACTAGAACTATAACTACGACCAGAAGTAGGACTAGTACTAGGACTAGGACTAGAATTAGAAATACGACTAAGACCAGGCTTAGGACTAGTACTAGGACTAGGACTAGAATTAGAAATACGACTAAGACCAGGCTTAGGACTAGTACTAGGACTAGGACTAGAATTAGAAATATGACTAAGACAAGGCTTAGGACTAGGACTAGAACTATGACTAGGACCAGGACTAGGACTAGTACCAGGACTAGGACTAGAATTAGAAATATGACTAAGACCAAGCTTAGGACTAGGACTAGAACTGTAACTAGGACCAGAAATATGACTAGGATCAGTCTTAGGACTAGGACTAGAACTATGACTAGGACCAGGATTAGGACTAGTACTAGGACTAGAATTAGAAATATGACTAAACCAGGCTTAGGACTAGTACTAGGACTAGGACTAGAATTAGAAATATGACTAAGACTAGGTTTAAGACTAGGACTAGAACTATAACTACGACCAGAAGTAGGACTAGTACTAGGACTAGGACTAGAATTAGAAATACGACTAAGACCAGGCTTAGGACTAGTACTAGGACTAGGACTAGAATTAGAAATACGACTAAGACCAGGCTTAGGACTAGTACTAGGACTAGGACTAGAATTAGAAATATGACTAAGACAAGGCTTAGGACTAGGACTAGAACTATGACTAGGACCAGGACTAGGACTAGTACCAGGACTAGGACTAGAATTAGAAATATGACTAAGACCAAGCTTAGGACTAGGACTAGAACTATAACTAGGACCAGAAATATGACTAGGGTCAGTCTTAGGACTAGGACTAGAACTATGACTAAACCAGGCTTAGGACTAGTACTAGGACTAGGACTAGAATTAGAAATATGACTAAGACCAGGCTTAGGACTAGGACTAGAACTATAACTAGGACCAGAAATATGACTAGGACCAGGCTTAGGACTAGGACTGGAACTATGACTAGGACCAGAAGTAGGACTAGTACTAGGACTAGGACTAGAATTAGAAATACGACTAAGACCAGGCTTAGGACTAGTACTAGGACTAGGACTAGAATTAGAAATACGACTAAGACCAGGCTTAGGACTAGTACTAGGACTAGGACTAGAATTAGAAATACGACTAAGACCAGGCTTAGGACTAGTACTAGGACTAGGACTAGAATTAGAAATATGACTAAGACAAGGCTTAGGACTAGGACTAGAACTATGACTAGGACCAGAAATATGACTAGGACCAGGCTTAGGACTAGGACCAGGATTAGGACTAGAACTAAGACTAGAACTAAGACTAGAACTAGGACTAGGACTAGGACTAGAACTAAGACTAGAACTAGGACTAGGACTAGGACTAGGACTAGGACCAGAATTAGGACTAGGACTACAACTAAGACCAAAAATAAAGTAAAATTGAAAGTACAAATTAAAAAATAAAAATAAATAAAATGGAAGATATTTCGTTATGTGTGAGTGTTCAGCTTACTTTGACTTTGGATGGTAATAGAAGGCCGTGATCGCAGCCCAGACGAGGGTCATCACGACTGGACATCCCCAGCCGACGAAACGGTACATCCGGTAATAGGATGTCTCTTGGAACACCGTCACTGCGGCAAACGGATCGACAGAAGGAAAAAGAATTAAGGAGATGAGACGTTTAACAATGGCGGACACATATTTAGTTCCAGTTCGGAAGCAAGTACGTGGATGCAGGAATTTTTAATCAAACTCGAACGTTCCTCTGGAGACTTGAAGGATAAAACTAGGACGATTGCTCGGAGCTGAGAAACGTTTAATTTTCGCATAGTTAAATGGACCTAAAACGTGCCTCATCATTGGAACACCTCGGGCTTTGGACGAGGAGTGGCTATAGGGGACACTAAATTTACCGTTGGACTTCAATTCTTGTCACTTTTCTTTTTTTTAAATAAAAGGCAGCAACATATTGTTTAAAAAAAAAACTTTAAATTATAACACACAATTTATAAAACTTGAGTTTTATAAATTACTTGAGTTTTATAAATTACAAATTAATAAATTGTGAACACTTCGTTTTCTCCGTTTTAATGCACTTTCTAAAGTTATTATTATCTCTCTTAGCGAATATAGTATGGAACTATGATCAATATTCATACAGCCAGCTCACCCCTGCCCCTCCCCCACTGTTTCTATGCATATGACAGTGTCTGATACGTACGTAGGTCAGTAAATAACAACAATAGCTCAATAAATTAACTACAGTTCAGTCAAGTGGCAAATGATTCTTTGTAAAGTGCTGGTCTTTCAAATTGCTAGAAAAGCTGCAGCAAATATTACACTTTTTATCATCTGGTATAGATCAATCTCGAGTTTCAGATGAAGCAGCCCTACATTGTTATAAAGAAGTCCCTATGTATTCATAATTAATGAGAATCTTTGATTTTCACTTTTGAATAGACCTGAACAAGGAATATTCAGATATTCATTATTACTTCACATTCATGCTAGAGACATTTTGGACGACGAACGTGGGTCAGTTGTGACCCAGATTTTAAGGCTATGCTGAAACACTGACTAAATTTTAACCCCCTTCGGAGGGGTTAATCTCTGAGTCCTTTGATACTAAGAAGAGAAGTTCAGTAACCCGAAAATTCCGATGTTTTTTAAACTTTGCAGGTTTGTAGGGGACTTTAAGAGAAGTATAGCGCAATTTTGGTTTTTGGCCTAATTTCAGTTCTTCATGGTGAAAACATCCCTTGAAGGTAGACAGGTGTTTCTATATTTCCCTGTATATGTTTAAAACTATCGTAGATATACAAAAATGGTTACAATAAAAATTAAATGGTTTTTTATGCTCTATAAAAGAATGCAGTTAAATTGATAATTAATAAAAGTAGGGGGATGTTTTTATTTAAACAAAGAATTTCTATAGTTTGAAGATATACAGGGAAATATGGAAACATCTATCTATCATCAAGGGATGTTTTCACCCTGAAGAACTGAAACTGGGCCAAAAACAAGAATTGCGCCGTACTTCTCTTCAGGCCCCCTACAAGCTTACAAAGTGTAAAGAACTTCCCTTGTAAGACCACACCCCTATATGAACCAGTTTTAGGTCAGTAGAAATTTGGTTATATAATATATTTGCATAAATAATGGCGACTCACCAGTGACCATGTTGTGGAGAAATAGACCCTCTATGAACATCCACATGAACATCGCAGTTTTGGCGTACTCGAGGAGAGCGTAGCTGGCCTCACAAAGGACAGGCTGAAAGAGGAAAAAAGTTTTTCCAGTTCACTTCAAGACCAGACCTTAATTTCTCTTCTGCAAATCTTATTCAGCAGCATTCCCTCTGATCCATGAACTTTTCGAAATGGTGAAATATAATTATTTCACACAGAAATATATTAATATTTTGAATATTTTGAATATATTAATATTTTTAATATATTCTGGACTACTATATAATAAAAAGATTAGGAAAATCAGTGAAGAAATTTGAAAAGTGGTCAGACACATTTGGAAAGACATACTTGAAACTCGGCGCTCTGAACTGATAGGCCTGGACAATTTTTTCAATTTCCAAAATTCAATCAGACTACAATTATCCGCATGTTGTATGGAACTATTGAAAAATTCTTATTTTTCGTTTAAATGATAATAAACATTTTAAATTGTTATAACTATTATTTACATGCCCTTTCATTGATATTGTTATGATTTACACAGAAATATATTAGTATTTCCGTGTTCTGGACTAATATATAGTAGAAAGATTAAGAAAATCATTGAAGAAATTCGAAAACAGGTCAGGCACACTTGAAATAACTTGGGGGCTCATCAGTACTTACAGTATTCCCTATCCCTCTCTGAATCCCATACGTCTTCCTTCTCAGGATTTCTATGTCTATGTACACGATCAATCGTATAAGAACCTGGACGACCATGGCAACGAAGAGATTCTTGTGTATCCTGGTCCTGGTGTTCCTCAGGGATCTGGGATAACATTAGTAGCAAATATCTATCATTAAACATTCATCTAAATAAAGAAAATACTGTTTATTTTTTAGCATGATGCCCATACGAAAAATATTGATGTTCAGTGGGACTCGAAACGAAAACGGGAACAATACCGGTGCTCATATTACGTGGACACTTTGTGCACTCTTGGATCTTTGACGCCATTCGAGTCTTCATTCCATTACCGTTGTGTCTCGGTAAAAAGCTTAACCCAGTTTCGCGGGAACAAACAGAATCCCCATGTCTTTCCAGGTAAATCGTTTGTATATCACCGAGTCCCGCCGCGCAAACCGTAAAACGAATGTACGTCGACATGATTTCCGACAAACAGAAAACGAAGAGGCCACGTTGCGTGTTTCGTAATCCTCTTATGACACAAGATGGAGTACACGTAATATGAGGGAATGCTTCGATCGGGTTGAAAGAATTCCTCGAAACTTCGGCTCTGCAAATTGAAGAACGAATAATTGCTTTTTCATAATCCTACCTGAACCGACAGAATATAGCGAGGGAGACGAGCAGCGCTACCAGAGAAATGCTCAGACCAACAAACTCCAATATTCGGGTCTTCTCGGCTATGTCCATCTTCATCTACAGGAAACAAAAGAGAAAAAAAATGGAGAGACGTGAGTGCTGTACCAATATTTCTTCTGCAATGTAGTTTACAGAGAATACGGTACTGTTGGGTCGGAGCAGGGTAATTTGTTACAGCTACACACGAAGCCAATAAAATAAAAACTTGTGATTTATGGGTATATGGAACTGTAGAGGAACGTGATACATGGATCTCCATTTTTAATGGCTCTGGGAGACTTTATGGTTGCTGTGACGAATGGATAGAAAATCCCAAATAGCACATGACGCCTTGACGACGCCTATTTTACGGCTGTTTTAGGTCTAACAAGGGAAGGCATGGAAGAGTCCCCCTCCGATTTTGATGAAACTTCGTATGTCTGTTAAGCAGTCAAAAATAAGGGATACGTATTTTTTTTTATCGACTGAGACGCGACTTTAAGGGGTGAAACCACCCCTCAAAGTTTCGATCCGTTTAAGGGATACGTATTTTTTTTTATCGACTGAGACGCGACTTTAAGGGGTGAAACCACCCCTCGATGTTTCGATCCGAAATTTTTTTGATATAAACAAATTATATTTTGGACAATTTGTTAGCGCCATATTATTCTACATAAAAAACCGCAAATCTCATTCATTAGAAGTTTTCATGTATCTCCTCTGGTTTTCGAGATAGTACTTTCGGGTCGAAACTTTGAGGGGTGGTTTCACCCCTTAAAGTCGCGTGTCAGCAGATAAAAAAAAATACGTATCTCTTATTTTTGACTGCTTAACAGACATACGAAGTTTCATCAAAATCGGAGGGGGACTCTTCCATGCCTTCCCTTGTTAGGCCTAAAATAGCCGTAAAATAGGCGTCTCTAAGGCGTCATGTGCTATCTGGATTGTGATATTATTTTTAGCAGGTTGTTACTGGACAGGGATATACGCAACACTGTACAGTAAATCCTCGACGAGTGCTCGCAGGCTTCTCAGCACTGACAAGAAAAAGTCCCCAAGTCTAACGCTGACTTTTTATTAATTAGGTTTAGTACATTGATAGAGCTTGGAATTTAGAACCCACTGGTATTTTTTTTCAGTCGCATAGGTCCATTAATTTATGAAGTATTTAGTGTTCAGTGCCAAGGAGCCTTTGGACACTCATCGAAAATTTACTGTTCATCAGTTTTCTTTTGCTGTTCCAGCTTCTATTTCCCTACGTGACTTGATATTTGAAACATGCGAGGTTCCTGAATCAAATTAAGTGAAATTTTGACTATACCAGTTGCCCAGACTGAAAAATAAAGGAATGGATTTCCCCCGAGGCCAGAGAGAAGAAAAAGGAAGAAGGCTAGGCCTGATCGATTTCCTTCGGAATTTAATTTCTATGGAATCGATTTGGCCCACTTCCATAGTACTCGAAACTTTAAGCAGCCATAATTGTGTAGATCATATATGTATAGATCACCAGTTCTGTCGTCGACATATTTTCTCGTCCTAAAGAACCTGTTATCCTTCTATCATATAAATATTGACCTCGTGGGCGAGTGTTGACAGTGATAAAGAGGAATTGCCCTTCGATGGAAAATTCTAAAGTGACTTCCCACATGGTACATGCTTCTGAGAATATTTATAGATCACTGTGTACCGTAATGGATTAGATTATACGACTTGAGGGTCATAAATAGGTGACACAATTTTTGGTCCAGATGAAAAATAATCTTTTATAGCTTCTGAGATTCAAGAAGGTTTAAATAATAATTACTGGGTAAACATTGACTCGTAAGTTGTTCTTTCTTTTATTTCTGCCCTTGTATGACCCTGAAGACCATAGTATACTACATGGTTGAACTCGTCTTAATGCCCGCTTTCATATGATGTAAAAAAATATGTAGCATTCTATTTAAAAAAATCAAGGTCACCTTTGTTTCTAGAAAAATATTAAAAATACAAAAACTTTAGATACGCTATCATATTACTAGTAAAATATACTACAACTTCCTCTTCTTCGGCTTCTTTCTAATGTTCACCGTTTACGAAAAAAAAAACGATGGTACAAATTATCGCGATCACCCTGTATATCACTAAAGACTACAACATATTGAAAATTTAAAAAAATCGAAAAAGTGTTCGATTTCGCGTAGAATAACCCTTTGTAGGCTTTTCGTGGGCTCTAATCTGCCAGCCAGCCTATTAATCAATTGTGTAGCTGATGATGGAAATCCAACTGGACCTCTGTTCCAACTCTATAATCCTTTAATACTCACTTTACCCTCGATAGCGTTGGTGTAAACTTTCCCATGCAGTCGCAGCATTTCCGGTGTCAGACAGGTCGTGTAGTTTGCCCATCCGTGAGGTGTTTCCTCGTTGCTGGTACCATTCTGACCCTCCCAGCGGCCGTTGTAACCGCACTTCTTCTCCACGGATTCTGGGCAAACAACGAGGTACATACGGACAGCCCGAATGTGTACTGTGGACATTAGGGGAGCTGGATCGATCTACTTCAGGCAGAGTTTCAATACCTTTGAAGGGAAATGATGATTTTGCACTCGGCTCGGAACTTTTAGTACCATTTAAGAAGAACAAATAATGACTATAATAATATGAAGTCGACACGATAATATAAGAGGGAGGAAATACTTTAACATTTTGATTAATCCTTTCAGGACAACAAATTATATTTAACTTATCTATAGAATTCATATTGAATGAATTTAAATTACTTGTAAATAACAAATTTAATACAAGCCTACTTATTTTTATTGTTTTAATATTTACAATTATAATTATAAATCTAAAGGTCTAATACCTTATATTTTTACTCCTATAGCCTTATTTAGCTGTAGTTAGGTATCTATCAAGTTTCTACTCTGCCCAAATGAAACTAGGAATAATTCACCTAAACATATATGATTTGTATGTAAGTCAACCCCAACTGTCTTTAACACTTTTAGCCTTGGAAACAAAAGTCTAACTTGGGTAGAAATAGTCAGCACCTAATTTGTCAGTAGTCTGACAGGTACTTAACCAGAGGATAGAGGCGTCAGATGATAGAAGTCCAAAGGCTGTATATATGAACACTTAGGGGATGGTGTCCAAATGCTATATGGACATTTAGAGGATGGTGTCCAAAGGCTATATGGACACTTAGAGGATGGTGTCGAAGGGTATAGTATGGGCACTTAGGGGATGATGTCCAAAGGCTATATGGACACTTAGAGGATGGTGTCGAAAGGCTATATGGACACTTAGAGGATGGTGTCCAAAGGATGCATGTATTGACACAAAGGCTATATCTGTCTACAATTTATAGGACATTAAGTGTTATTAGAATTACCTCTGGAAGCTGGATAGAGACGTCAGAAGATACAAGTTATGCTAGATTAGGGACTAAATTGTTATTACCTAGCTTTACAGTACCATACAAAAGATTAGACCACAGGACCTTGAACAGCTAAAGTGGTATTCTATGTAATAAATGTTTTTAGTATCAGATTATGGGGTACGATAATACAGCAAAGATCTTGAGTACTGGTGGCCCAACTGGAATTAAGAATAATTCACCTAAACATATATGATTTGTATGTAAGTCAACCCCAACTGTCTTTAACACTTTTAGCCTTGGAAACAAAAGCCTAATTTGGGTAGAAATAGTCAGGGCCTAATTTGTCAGTAGTCTGACAGGTGCCTAGCCAGACCTAGATTTGGGCCAGACCATATGTTGTGAAAACATAGCTAATCCAGGGCTTAATTGTACCTAGCAAATCTTCTTTGAATTAGACGTACATCAGAAGCAATTCGCTGTGACCTAGATACTGGATCCGTTTGTTCCTGATGTATTTATCACGCCAGGAAGGGCGCCCTGGAGTGTTACACTCTCTGACTGAAAACCAGTAATTTCCGTGAACTTTGTGTAAAGAGCCGAAAACTGAAGGTTTCAATGGGTTTGTGGACTACATAGAACTGCAATCGGCTTGCATTACGATTCGGGGGACCTTCTCTGTTTACGCCCCGCAAATTTGTACAAAATTTCGCTTCATCATTACTAACCGACAGAACTTCGCGTCCCATAACATCCCTAAAGCCTTGTTATACCATGAAACAAAATGTTTTTGTATATATTGCAATACGCATTAATGCAGCCGGGTGCGGCCATTACCATAAAGTCCATTAACGAAGTAAACACGAATTAATCGATTCGGCTCCATTAAAATTTTCATTTCATACAACTGTTATGGGAAATCGTCTCTGGTTGAATTTTTGAAACTGGGAGAAAAGAACCGTACGAAGCTTGTAATTACATCGTGATAATAACTGAAATGAATATAAATGCTTTTTTAAATCCTCTTCGTGTTTTCCAGAAATGTCGGAGGCAGCTGTTGCATTGTACCAGAATCATCTAGCTATCGGACATCTCGATAAACAATGCTCATTCGGAGAACCAGTCCCAAAAGAATTTCATCTCCTTTATCACGTCGTCAAAAAGCCGGGAATAAAGAGCGACCATGAATATTCCATGAAAGAAGAAGCCTTAAAGAGCGAGCCCACCTATCTATCTACTTAAAGCCTTTCTCAGGGACCGCGAATTTGGAGTTCCGCTCTTTTCGTCTGAAACTTCAAGGCAGCCCACAAAGCCAAGGCCGTTAGCGAGCCCAGTTTGTTCGGTATTGATCTGATTTTACGAATGCCAGCTTGTAATTGGGAAGTTACCTCTTTGCGCTACGTGCATTTTTAATGGTCTACTCCAGAAATTTTTTGTGATACAGTAAATCCTCGATGAGTGTTCGAAGGGCACCCATTGAACATTAAATATTTCATAAACTAATGGCCATATGTGGTTGAAATAAATATCATTGGCTTCAGAATTCCACTGTCCCAAACCTCGTTAAAAAGTCAACGTTACACCTGGGAACCCCTCAAACCGTGGAACACTCATCGAAGATTTACTGTATTTTGTAAGTTTTTCTGAAAATCAATTTTTATTAAAGCCAGTACTTGCACACTACGCAATGGATTTCACTAAAGTTTAAAAAAAAAATTATATTCGCAATCTTTGCAAAACAATAATATGTAATTATTAGTTTTTAAAATGTAGATAACAAATAGCGATGTATGTATACAGTCATCGATAAATATCGCCCATCACTATTATAGGTCGGTCACGTTGTTAGTAGCGCTTTAATCGATAGCGTGGGTAGATCTCACCCCAAGCGAACGGAGATAAAGGAAGTAAAGGGCAAGGACACGAGACAGTGCACGAACTCGAGACACCCGATCAAGCTGAGCAATTCGAAACTCATTCGATTAAGTAACCAGGGAAGCTTGCAAGTAACTGAGGCGTCTGAATAAATGATACGAGACTCCTGGGAGATGGTGTGGGATGTAAAGTTTCGAGAAGTATTAGACCAAGAGACTTAGGGGTCTAAAATAATTCACGATATGTCAGTGCTACCCTAAACTGACCAGAGAGTTACCCAAGGTTTCGAAGTTTCATGTGTGCTTGTCTTTCTACAGACTGCAAATATCTCAGGTCTGCGTTCTAGAAGTGTTACTCTGCTCTATGGCAATGAGAACAAGAGCCCTAGAGGTCTGTAACAGGTTATTTCGTCAGGAGTACCGAAATTGTAATCCGAGGAACAGCGAAGTTTCATTTGCCTAAACACAGATATACTACACCAAACATAGAGTCCAACCAGCGACAGGTTTCTGACTATGTGAACTCTACTAGAACTAAAGAAGTGATTGTCCAGGTATTAATGATTTCTTTGACCCAAGTCTGGGTTAGATCTGAAGTAGATATAGAATCCTCTAATAATTACTAGGCTTAGAATAAATTTAACGGAACCCAATAATTACCTTTGTTCTACAGCATTTTGCTACCTATATGGACACTAACATTAACAAGTAGCTATTTCCATGGATAGGTTCCTGACTATGTGAACTCCACTAGAACTGAAGAAGTGATTGTCCAGGTATTAATGATTTCTTTGACCCAAGTCTGGGTTAGATCTGAAGTAGATATAGAATCCTCTAATAATTACTAGGCTTAGAATAAATTTAACGGAACCCAACAATTACCTTTGGTCTACAGCATTTTGCTACCTATATGGACACTAACATTAACAAGTAGCTATTTCCATGGATAGGTTCCTGACTATGTGAACTCCACTAGAACTGAAGAAGTGATTGTCCAGGTATTAATGATTTCTTTGACCCAAGTCTGGGTTAGATCTGAAGTAGATATAAAATCCTCTAATAATTACTAGGCTTAGAATAAATTTAACGGAACCCAACAATTACCTTTGGTCTACAGCATTTTGCTACCTATATGGACACTAACATTAAAAAATAGCTATTTCCATGGATAGGTTCCTGACCATGTGAACTCCACTAGAACTGAAGAAGTGATTGTCCAGGTATTAATGATTTCTTTGACCCAAGTCTGGATTAGATCTGAAGTAGATATAGAATCCTCTAATAATTACTAGGCTTAGAATAAATTTAACGGAACCCAACAATTACCTTTGGTCTACAGCATTTTGCTACCTATATGGACATTAACATTAAAAAGTAGCTATTTCCATGGATAGGTTCCTGACTATGTGAACTCCACTAGAACTGAAGAACTAACTCTCCAGATATTAACGATTTCTCTGTCTCAAGTCTGGGTTAGATCTGAAGTAGATATAAAATCCTCTAATAATTACTAGGCTTAGAATAAATTTAACGGAACCCAACAATTACCTTTGGTCTACAGCATTTTGCTACCTATATGGACACCTACATTCAAAAGAAGCTATTTCCAGTTGTCAATTTCATTTTGCAGAGTAAACTGCAGCGGACACAGACAAATCGTGGAATTAGAGGCAAATTCGCGAAGATAATCCCGACTTCCCGGGTGGTCCCGTTTAGAGTTGCTCCACTTTAACATCTCGCGTCCCGACACATCGATTCGTACCGGGGATTCGCATGAGCATGCACAGCGTTACTTGAACTTGCCACCCTCCGGCCTTCGTGATGCACTTCCGTTTCTACGAGGACAATAACGGGTCAGAAACAGAACGAATGAGAACCTGGCCGTTTGGCAGTGTGAGTGTGGCATCAGGGTTGCAGCGGTGTTGGCGTACCACTCGACCCACTTCTCCCCATTTTGATTGCACTCGATAATGCCGCGACATGTTACCAGCCCTAACAGCGCAGCAAAACTCTCTCTCCTCTTTACAACCGTCTTTTTTTTACATTTTTCCTTTGCTCGTTCTTATTCTTTTCCCTTGCTACGAAGTGCACCGTGTAATTTCCAACATTTCTTTTTTGGTTTGTGTATAAAGCAGCTACATAGGCTGTCCTGGGCTCCTAAGTGAAAGGAGAAGACGCTTAAGGGTTTAGGCTACCTTGGAGGCCCGAGAAACTGACTTTGATAGATATATC